TTCTTTAACTTCTTTACATAAAATAAGCTACTTATGCCTGCAGCTTCTCTCCTTTTCAAATTACATATAAATGCTTTGGTTTCAATTGAGGCGACAATTAAAAAAGATGTTTCGAAAAGCTAGGGAAATTTACGGGTTTATTTAGCGCCAATCAAACTGTGTCATTGCTTTGGCCTTACACCATATCGGAATTTCTAGGAATTTGTAGTGGATCAAAAATTACAAAATGAGGATACGTAAAATTTGTCTTGGTGAAAAAGATTTTTTTCACGGTGGTCAACCCTTGAAAACGAAATAAAGGGCTAATACATTCACGGTATCGTTGTTCTGCTCTTCGCAAAATTCATTCTGAATTTTCGCCCATTTTTACGCCACGATAGCACGATTTTGCTTACACGAACTTACGCTTAAAATTTTAAATCCTCAAGAAGTATGACCTGGGCCATGCGAACTTTCAAGATAACGATTGATTACGTGAAAACTTACCGAACAATGGTGCATTTTAATCCCTTACTCTCCTGAATTTTGAAATCGAATAAATTAACCAACGTAGGTTTTTGCTTTTCACAAAATTTGCGCCAAAATTACGGTTTTCAACTCTACTAAAATCGCATAACTTGTTTGAATTTTGATATTACAAAAATGCAAAAAGGATTAGCTTGTTTCACTGTGATTACTGCTTAGGGCCCGGAAAAACCAGTTAGCATTGCAGGATCCAGGGGATACTTGCTGTCCACAGAATCCGTGTTAAATTAATACGTTTTTAAGCCTTCCCCGAAAACTTATCGAAGTTAAATTAGAAGAAAAAAACAGAGCAATTCAAATCTCAAGCATCATTTGCAAGGATGTTGTTATTTGAACAAAATTTCCTAAAAAAGATAGTCTCATCATAGTAAATGTCGAAAGTTGTGGTAAAGCAAATAATACAAGTGGCTCACTGGATTTTTGCTTCTCTCCACAAAATTCGTATCAAATGTCCGTTTTCAAGGATCTAAAAATTAAATATGCACTGTTGCATAATAGGAAAAGATAATTTCATGAGGCTAGAAGCCTCTCTGAAGCGTGGGGGGAATGAAAGGAATTTCCTGATAATATGGTACTTCAATGAAGTATAGTCACCAAACCTCAATAGACTTGTTAATATATCACCAAGTTTTGTTGTTCACAAATCCATTTCCAATCTACCATTTTTAATTCTCGAAAACTGAAGAGATTAGAAGAATTTCCGATAATTGATCAAAATTGGCAAAAAAATTGTTTCGTCATAATTAGATTAGAACATTATCTTGAGCGAGTTAATAAACGGCGCACTAGTCCTTTCTCTCCACAAAATCCATTTCAAATTACCGTTTGTAAGCCTCCAAAATTAGCATAATAGCATAATAATTATATAAATTAGGCCAATTCCATGAATAGTGTGTTTCATTGTGATCAATAACCCAAAACCGCAATAAACTAGATAATGACCGACACCATTTTGCCATTCACAAAATCATGTCCAAATTACCGTTTTAAGCCTCTAGATAAAGAATAATTTTAAATTAATAGTTCAAAATTCGAACAAATCTATTGAATTATATAAAATTAAAATTAGTAAGTCCCATAAAAATAGTAGTTTGTTAGTATATCGGCTTGTAGAATGCCGGCAAAAAAGTTTGTTTTCATTATAATAAATTTAACAAATTTTGCAAGCCAGGTAATACTGGATAAAAAATGGGTATTGCTGGATCCAAAATCTCGAACTGTATCTCTGTCCAAATACCGTGTCCAAGCCTTCAAGTGGCACAATATTGCTATTGTAATAAGCGACTAATGTTGTTATCGCAGTATTTGCAAAAAAGTAAAAGGATCAAAAATATAGCCAAGTCTTTTTTTTTTTTCTATTCACAAAATCTCTGTCAAAAGTACCGTGTCCAAGCCTCGCAAAAATTAGCATAATATGACTGTAATAATAAGCGACTAATCCCCGTGTGGCTTCTTTGCAGCAAACGTGCGTCGACAAATTGTTGGGGAGACAACCAGAGGAGTCAGAAGAAGAAGGGCGGGCTTGGAGGGAGACATGCCACACCGACCACCCCAGCCACAACCACCCCGTCCGGCTCTCAACCTCATAATGAGGCACTCAGCAATCATAAGGTTCTGCTGGGATATAGTAGTGCATGATTACTGCATGGTTGGCTTGTAAAGTATAGTTTTTTTGGCGTGTCGAAAAAGCACCCCTCAAATGGCCAGTAGAAGTTTCCTATTTTCACGGCTTAGGTGACAAAATGCCGAATCCCGACAGTCAAAATGCCGACAGCTAAGCCCTCGACAAATCCCGACACGCTAAAATCAGGACATCCAAAACCCACCAGATCAAGAACCGACAAATCAAAATACCTAAGGCTGAAATCACGACAGCCAAAAAATCGTGACGGTCTGGAATGTCGACACGGAAAGACGATTTCACTAACGGCTCGCTAGACCCGTTAGCTGGCACGATTAACGAAACATTTTCGTTAAATTAAAATCCCGTTGGTATCGGGTGTGCGATCTACCGGCATTTCTACGTAGGAAAATTAGGCGAAATCAGATTTCGTGAAGTGACTTTCTACTAATCAGATTTGATAGTATATTTTTCGAAATTCTGATAGTACGGAATTCCTGGAATCGGAGAGGGACCCACGGCTCGAATGCCATCGATTGATATCTAAATCATAAACCAAACAATCAAGAATCGGTTCCTTGTACGGATCTCAAAGGGGTGCTTTTCTGTTTTTAGTTATCGCATGCTTGTCCGGTGTCTTTGTCGTGAATTACGCGTTTTCTCTGCATGTTTCACGGTGTCATGGGATTTTTCCCGTAATCCAGTTTTTAATGGAGTGTTGTTCGGCATCGGTTGATATTTTCGGGCTAGAACTAAAACGCCAAGACAGGTTATTCGTGTGCGAGCGTAGTATGCGCTTTGGCACCTTAAAAATCAGCTAAAAGGATAAAATTTTTTAGATAAAAAATATGTTTCTCTAAAACTCTTTCTAAGCTTTACTACGCTTCGCTCAATGAAAATTCGCCGTATGCATATTTTCCTCGGTTCTCACGTCTGCTTAGAATTATCGATTAATGCTGGTAAGAAGAAAATTAGTAGGTAGCCTATTAACCACCGCATTTTTTAAATCCTAAATTGTTATAATGCGGAGAGGTAAATTAAAACTAAAAAATTAAAAGTAAAATTAAAAAGGCGGGTTCCCGACCTTAATATTAGGTTTAATTGTTAAGGTTTAAATTTACCTAGCGAATACCAGATTTATTTTTTAGCATTAAAATTATTATTTATAATACTACATTATTTTTATCGTAGATTATTATGACATACGGGGATTCGGTTGCTGAGGAGTCATAATTGCTATTCCTAGATAAAGAATACTCAAGCCCCCGAATAAAACATTTTTTTATGAAAAACTTATTTATTTTCGGCATGTTAATAATCTGTTGTAAGGTGAAGTCGTGGTGGTGATGATATTACGGTGTTGTATTCCGGTGTTAGTAATAATTTTCACTAATTAAACCCTTCCAGATGCGCTCGCTGGTGTCAAACCAAACGGACGAGTGGTCGGGGCTGATGCGAAAGCACGAGCAGGAAGAGTTCGAGATGCGCAAGGCCCACATCAGAGAGCAGTACGATCTGTTGAGGTATTGTCTTTATATTTTAATTAATGACAGGACTTGGATTATTTTATTAATCATTAAAATTGGGCTTTTACAAAAAGCAAATTTGGGTAAAATGAAAGCTTTCTTCGGGCACTTTTTAACAAACAGGTCGAGAGCGCGTTCCTGGGGAGTGGCCGCAGAGACATTTCAACTAATTTCCTAGAACGTAACAGAATCCAAATGCCGTCGGAATCCCTATAATTCTTTCTGCTTCTAGCTAGCTCTTTATCTTCTACCCCGTTTGGCAATTAACGGGAGGCTAGGTTACGCATGGATTTCTCTGGGGTATTTTTTGCGCTCCAAGAAAACGTAGAAGATAAAATTGGCTTGGTTAGAACTGTTGGCAATTTCAGCCCAAAACTTGGTTTCCCTCATCTAGGCAATCTCATTTTAAATTTTTATGATTCGATGTTTTGAAAAGCATAAATTACCCCAAAAATGTTTTGAAAGGCTACGGAGTAAATCCCTACTTTGAAAACAAGCTTTCCCCAAAACGGTTTGGCGTCCTTCATGAAACTGAAAGTTTAGAGCATTCCGATTTTTGGAAAAATATTTTTGCTAGCTTCTACTAGAGATAAATTTAGGGATTCTGATTTGGGAGTCGTTTAGAGATCGAGTATTTAGAGTCTTAGGCTGATATACCGGTTTGAAAAAATTTGAGATCGACTATTTAATTTACAATTAAAGCCCACCCATTTTTAATTATTTTGAAGCGAGTTTTGAGAAAGTGCAGAATTAGCTACAGTTGTAAAACGCCACATCCCACACATCGTTATTAATCTTAGCTCAATGTTTTTAACAGTATCGTTAGCGTCGATTAAAACGCGACAATATAACCGATAACTACAGTTTCTAAAAACTTTTTTTGATGGGTGCGTCTCTTCTCTCTAGCTTCAAATACAAGTTGAAAACCCCCAGGTTCAGTCTTTGTTTATGGTTTTTATGCTACAATTTTGATTTTTAGTTCGATATAAAAATTTGGGAAATACTGTACCTTTCTAAAACTACAGTAACTTGGATATAAAGTAGAAGAAGAAATAGAGTAGTAAAAACTCCAAGACTCATTTTTGACGGCTCAGCATCGATTACCATTCGCCGATAAAAGCGAAACCTACAATTCCGTCAAACATTTTTTTAATTTCGGGAGTGAAATTGATTGTTTTTCTATGTAGTTTTTATTTTACCTTGTAAAAAATTATGTTTCTTTTCAGAAAGCTAATGTCGAAGGCGCAAGAAGTGCAGATGGCCAGTCTAAAGGCGGCTGGCCGCAGGAGGAGCTACAGAGGATGACCAGACTGTCAGACAAAAAGAGCATGGTAGACATCAAGGCCCTGCAGATGGTACGTTAATTCTTATACCATAAAAATAAAGAAATCCATGCATTACAGCAGTGATTTGTAAAGCATATAGTATTCAGTTTCACTATAAAAATAATAATAATATGGTTTTTTTCACGAAAAGAAATGTGATTTTTTAGAAAATTTGTGAAGTATGTAGAAAATGTCGAAATTTGTAGAAAAGCACTAGGTATTTTATAAGAAACAAGAGACGATTTTCTAATTCCTTATATTACCTTTTAGACAAGATATCACCAATAGAAAGATTAAAAATACAAGTCGAAAGGGAAATTCCAAAACTTTTGAAACATCCTTTTTCTAGCCATCTTTCGAAAAACGGACCTTTCAAAGTCCCCTGCTGAATATACAAATGATTTTTAATTTACTTTTTACTTTTTTAATTTTAAGTTGCCTGCTCAACATAATACTGTTTGCATAAGCATTCGGCTTATATTTAAGCGATGAAACATGAAATTTTATACAATATAAAAATTTCGGTTACAAATCAAGGTTTCATATTTTTTTATGGTTTTCCGGGCTTTAAGTAATGGAATCGTTTCGAGAAGGAGTTGGATTATATCTGTCTATACTTAAATTATACGATTTATCTAGGACAAAGGCATCAAAACGAAGGCCGAGAGAGATCGACGCGTCAAGGAGCTGAACGAGAAGAACGTGAAGCTGTTCATCGAAGAGCGGAAGCGGCTGACAATCAAGTAAGTTTGATGGAGTTAATTCAATAAGAAGTTTAATCTTCTTTAAAATTTAGTAAGAATATACTCGTGCTAATTTTAGCTTTCTATTTTTTTACTCTAGCTTAGAGACCCAATATAACCTTTTCGGCTCTTGCTTGATTGGGGGCTTGTTGAAAACATTGCCGTTGCTGTGTTTTTTAGAAACATGCTTTTTCTCACAGATTTGAGGGGAAATCTCTAATTTTTAGCAATTACAATCTCTATTTCGTTTCCAACCAATCAATTGCATTGTCGATGAAAAAGCTTTTGAAATGTGAAATCATGGATTCGGGGCATAACCTGAGGAGATTCTATGTTTTAGCTATACCAGTGGTTTGGAAAGAGAGACTTCGATTAATTCTTGGTCAAACCATAGAAATTTTCAGCAATTTAGTAGCCACGTTTGCTTAAAATTATCGATCGAAATTCCGATAAAACCAAACAATTTTCGTGACACGCAAATTTCGATAACGGCGAGCAAATAGAAAAAAATATGTTTCGAGGATTATACAAGAGCAAATCTGATTTTTCAAAACTATTATATCCAACATCTCAAATAATTTTGATTATATTCAATGTAATTCGAATTGATTAATTAAAAATGCCATATTTTTCCAGGGCCCAACGCCACGAAGAACAACTTGCCAAGCGACATCAGGATCAGAATGACGAGCTTAATAGAGAGGAGCAAAAGGTAAAGGCTCAAATGGACGCCGATTAAACGAGCAAACTTTAATTTTTCCACTATGATTGGAGAAACATATTTTTGGAAAAAAGATGACGTGGGATTTTCCGGATTTAGTACCTTTTAATTTCGGATAAATTAGAGCTTTCTGCTGGTTAGTTTTCAGTGTTTTCTAGTCGGTTACCAAATTAGAATTTAACCCCCTCTCATTTTGTTTTTAGCTACTAAAATTAATTGTCCAGACGCTGGTATAAAAATTAGATCTAAGCGCCTAGCCAAACCTATAATAGGTCCAGTTTACCGTCGGGTATGTTGGAAAATAGAATGTTCTCGAAATCTTTCTAAAATTACTACTAAAACCAAATTTGGTTATCGGAACATTTTTCTTCTCTACTTATGAAATCGGTTAATATGCAATTACTGGCCCCCCCCCCCCCCCCCCCCGAATATGCACATACAAAGCAAGAAGGCAAGCAGAATAGTACAATTAAATTAATTTTTATTACATAACCATATTTAATTTATTGCATAACTTATTAACTGATTTGAATTATAGATTTGACCATACAACAACGCTAAAATTATGGCGGTTTTTGCAGGCACTCGAAGCCGAAGAAGCCAACCACAAGGAGGAGCAGCTGGCCTCGCGGCCCGAGTCTGTCGTCTAGAGGATTTGCGCGCAATTTTCGTCCCGATTTACATTCGCCAGTTTATCATATTATACTTTACCGTGAAAATTGCCATTCAGATCGAAGAAAACACTCCTCCCACTTCTCAATGTGGTCAAAATTGTTGTGCCAAATTTATGGGAAAGCTATTAGTAATCCCAGATACCTTTAATGCCCTTAAAAAATGTTAATGTATTTATGGTAATCAGAGAATTATTAAGAGTTTTTGGAGGATTTTCGAGGTTAAAAAATGCGTTTTACTGGGTTAAATGAGGGGCAAATTTTTGAAGCCGTTATTGCAGGCAGAGGATTAATGATAACAGGCATGGAAATTTGATTTTCCTGTTTTAAATTCGATTAATTAATTAAATTTTAGTGAGACTGGATTAGTGACACGAAAATACCCAAGACTAAAGTTCTAATCAAATATCTGGTTACCAACCGTATAAGAAACATTCTTTTCCCATATGGCAAAAAGCTTCTTCAAGTTTAAACTTATTTTTTGCACTACGGTATGTCAGGCAAGCTGCTTTTTTAAACTATGTATTTTTAACTAGGTAAATGAGAAAAGGCAGCTTTGAAATTTTATTAATTGAATAATGAATAAAATTCAGGACCACAGAGCATTTTTATGCTCGACTTTTCATAAAACACATTTTCTCTCCGAATGCACGCTTTTTAAAAATATTACTTAAAAGTGATATTGGGACAAAATGGTCAGACGATTATCGGCTTTAAATAAATATTTTTGTTGTAGGTCGAATAAAAACATTTTCGCAAACTCTGTGCTGTTTTAAGGTATCGAAAATCCTTCAAAACCTGTATGTTTCATTTTTCTAGGCTAGCAGCCCCCATTGCCAACTGCCTCATTTATTTTCTTTTCGATGTTTTTAAATTTTTTTTGATTAAATACCGTCGTCCGGTGTTGTTCACTCCCCCGTTTGCCCACCATTTTCTGCCATTATTTTTGTTTTATATTTTTGATTATTGTGTATTTTATGCTGTAAATAGCCCGGGGGTCTTCTAATACTACTTCTTTAATTTCGAGTGTAATATCTGCTAGCCCGCCCACATCCTAATTAATTATGATTGCCGAGACGAGCCCGAAAAAGCCCGATGCTAATTCCAGTACCCCCATTCCTTGATTTTAGAGATTCCATTCTGTAGCACGGCGCGTACACTACTTATCAATCTTTTGGGTGTTTTAAAGGGACCTGGAAGTCTGAAAGGTATGGATATAAGTCGAGTTAATAAATATTAACTTTTCGAATTTAGCGAGAAACTAATGAAATGAATATCGAACCTTATTATCCAAAGTTTGAGATGATTAGTAGCCGATTAATTCAGTTATGATAACCGCACAAAGAAAAACATATTTTTGGGAAAATTTATGTTTCGGACTTTTTTAGCGTATAATTGCGCTTCGATGCCATAATTTCGTAGAAACCCGTATCTCGCCGTAATTAAGAAACTTAGTGGGTTGGCGTGACGACAGCCAAAATTATACCTTTTATTAATTTTTGGAGATCATGATGGACCAAAATCCAAGAGACTCACGTAATTTCAAAACTAGTTTTTTACGAAACATCGATTTTTAACTTCTAAAATTTGGATAAGCTAACATTTTATCGCTGGCTGAGTTTGTACCAACATTTAATCCCTTAAGAGTAAGCTACTAAAAAAATCGAATTTTATCGTTTTATTTCGCCAAAGTTGGTTCCTTGGATTAGGCCTTAGATACTTTTTGCAAACTATTGTTTTTATGAAACACAAATTCCTGAAAATTCTGAATTTTTACCAACGGAGAATTAAGGTTTTTCTACCAAAACAATAAAATTCAATTTAATCTTTTTCACTCAATTGTCTACCGCTTAATAAGCATCTTCAATATTTTCGAAAACGATATTTTTATGAAACACAAACATTTTCGAATTGGCACCAAAATATATAAGGAAACCCGACTTCCAGGCCCTTTAAAATACGCCTATAAACCCCTGCTAAATTCCCAGAAAATTTCAGAATTTCTGCAGTACGTGTGAGCCCGGTTTTTCACAATTTTTTTCTTTTCTAACGTCCCGTGAAAATCCTGACTTATCGATTCTTCCCCTCCCTCGCGGTCCATTTGAGTTTATTCATTTTACCATTTTTTAATTATTTGTTTTCCTCGATTTTCACGCCCGTCATTGCGTATTGTTGTGTACACATTTACACCCGCCCCAAGAAACACCCCACCACCACCACCACTACTCAGATGCCAAGTGAATGAAACGCGTGCAGATTTTATTATCGACAAATAAACGAATTTTATTTATCGCGATTCAAAACAGCAGACATCAACGATAAATTATCAAATAAAAATCTCAGAACGTTTTAATTTTTTATGAAACACGCTTCTGCTAAAAAATATTGCCAAAAAAATTTTAAGTAGCACATAAATTTTAGTTCATCTTCGAGCCAGCCAGCCTTGAATATCGGTAAATAAACTAATTTTATTGATCGTTTTTCGCAGCTAATGCCGAAATATAAAACCGAATCAAAAACGGAAGTGATTCTCGAATCAAAATGTTCAGCAAATTTTAATTTTTCCGAAAGCGATTTAAACCGTTCGTTTTTGACACACCGGAAATTTAGTTGAGATTGAGCCAAAATACTGGTGGGTTGAGTATCGACGAACAAACTATCAGGGGCCCGGGGGGGGCGGGGGGCCAGGGGGCGCCGGGGGGGGCGGGGGTCCGCCCCCGCCGGGGGGGGGCGTCCCTCGCCCCGGGGGGGGCCCGGGCGGGGGCGGGGCGGGCGGGGGGGTGGGTTGCTCTTTGGGGGGGGTGGTATTTTACTTATTGAGTTTTGCGTTGAGCTGCAAAATTAGAAAAATCAACACTAAAGCCTTATAATTCTGAGATCAAAGATGTGAGCAAAGCTTGAGTTTTACAAAACACATTTTTCTAAACCATTCCATCTGGAAACTAAGCTGAAATTTTGTTCATAATATGGCAAAGTTCAGGCGAACGCTCGATTGAACTGAGAATCTATATAAACCTCCTTATATTCCAGACTTAAAAAATTCCAAAGTTTAGATTTTTACCAAACACATTTTTCTAACCGTTCACTTTTCAGACTAGATCGAAATGCAGCGATCGACAAATAATACTCTATCTTGCGCGGGGCATCAAATCACCCGAGCACTTCCACTTACTCCGGTTCGGCAAGCCATTCTTCCACCCCGGTTACACTTACTGCAGCCAGATTACGTTCAGCACTCGTACGAAATCACCAAACTTCAACCAGCCTCCAGCCGCTATACGGGCGAAGCGCTCGTGAGACCACTTCTTTGCTTCTATCAAAAATACAAAAAAAGATGTCTGCTTGTTTTTGCCTGAATGCGTCGAATAGGCCACGTGCAAAACGCGATCCAAAAATTTATTGTGCAAAACAAACTAAGCAAGACAACGAACAATATTGTAAGTGAAAACAACGATCAGACAGACTTTTTCGGGACGGACATCTGGCGAATCGGGCAAAACAGCAGGTGGTGGGGTTGCTGGCACATGCTGGAATCAAAAAGTGTAAAAGAACAAATGATTGTTAGATACCTGCAGTAATTGCTGGCACGGCACTCGCCCCGATGCTTCTTCATGCAGCGCAACGTCGGGCATCCGCCGCCCTCCTTGAATTTCTGCAAAACAAAAGTAAGTCGCAAACGACCGAAAATTACCGCAATTCGTTGATCGAGGTCCGGGATCATGGAGGCGCAAAGGATGGGAGAATGGCCGGTCTCCTGAAGCAAAATTTGTTGTTTTAGAAAGGCCTCGTTACGTTAGGATGAAAGGGGCATGGTACAGCCCTCCGGCCCGATGGGGTCGGGACCGCTGCAGGCGCAACGCCGGGTCCCGCTGCCTAAAAGAAATGATAAAAATAGAGAAAACAACACAAACCTCGTGCGGATTGTAGATCGGTAACCCGGGGACGCCGTAGACGGCCTCAGAGCCTGGGAGCAGCGGCCGGCGACGTGGTGGCCCTTGGAATCCGCGCAGTTGTCCGTTCATGCATTGCGAGAAAATGTATTCTAAAAAAAGTGTTTGTGGGAGTACACTTAAACTGACGATTCTTGAACTGTTCGAATTGGTCTTCGGAGCGTGGCATTGGGGGCAGATCGACGGGCGTCGGGTCTTGGGTTGGGGGTGGTGGCTCGACGAGCATCGGCAGGGGAATCGGCATCGACACGGCTTGCACGTCCGCTACTTCGGGTCCTTCCGGCGCTTCGTCATCCTAAAGCAAAAGTAATGTTGTTGAAAGAGCAACCAACACTAATTTCCATGCGCTCCTGGCCGCCCTCGAGCAGTTTGTTGATGGCCATGTCCATGTCGGACGACATTTCGCTTAGCAGTTGCTGAGTTTCTAAAAAACAATTCAAAAGTATGTAGGAAAATTAGGTCCTTTTGGATTTGCGGGGGGCAGGTCGGTCTAGCAATCGAACAGATGTTTGAATTCGAGAAAAACAACAAATTTTTAACCTAAAATTCATTTTTATGAAAACTTGTGGTCTTTTTGCTGAGGGATAGTTAAAAACAACAAACGGATCCGCTAATGATAAAAGACTCTAGGCTTACTCCGAAAGTTGGTCCGGCCCTACGGGAATCCTAAGGAACCAGAATACCTTTCGAGATGCTCGTCTCAGGAGTTGGAAGGCACGTCTCTTCGTGGTCCAGCTTCTTCTTGTTATTGAGGGCCTTCGTCAGGAAGAGGTTGACTTTGCGCAGCGCTGTTTCCTTCTCTTCACTCTTCTCCTTCTCAACCTTGACTTTGCCGGCCCGAGATGCAGAGCGGCTCGCATGGCGGCGTGGTGAACGGGACCTGAATGAAATAAAAAATGAAAAAATCCGAATTTCTACCGGTCTCTGCGACGGCGGCGCTTTTCACGCGACGTGCTTCGTCGCTTCTTGGATCGAGAGCGCGTGCGAGAACCGGAACGACGCCGTCGGGAACGCGAGCGAGCCCGCGACTTCTTCCCTCCGTCTTTGTCACCACCTTTCGGTTTTTGCTTCGCGGAAACTAAAACCAACATTTTAGAGCGTGGAAAAAAGGCTTACCGCTACTGATCTCCTTTACCGGCGCCTCGTTCACCCGGCAAATCTCCACTGACAGGCTCGCGCTGGCCTCCGCTTGGATGCCGGCGGCGTCCATGGCCATCGAAGCAGCGATGATTGAAGACATTCCTGAGCATGATAAATAAAAAAAGCAACATCGACTCACTGTCTAGTTCTCTTGCCATGTTCAGCCTCAACTTGTTTCCGGCCGACGTCACGATCATCAAGCCGCACACGGTCGTTGCGAGCACGTTCTTCATCTAAAAATAAAAGTAAAAAGAAACCCAAATTGAGCACCGTCATTTTGCAGCCATCAGCGTGCTCGATCGCCATTTCGCTCGAGAAGAAATTGGCGCCGCATGCGCATGCGTGAGACACCATTTCTGCAGAAAAAAACAATATGTAAGTGGTCAGACGGCTTACTAGCGTGCACAGAGGCCGTGTGCTCCAACAATTCCCAGGCGCGCATGTCGCCGCTTCGGCACTCCTCGCACGTGTAGCGCAGGAGGTCGGCGGAATTCACCGTCATTATTACAGCACCCCAGTGGGGACAAGCTTCTTTGATTAGCCTGAAACACACGTTGGACCCGGCAATATTTCGGACGTAAAAGCAACAAGTTTTGTTCTGGCTTTTTCGCAAAATAAAGCTTGACAAAAATTCTCAACGAGAAAGTGCCGGGATTATGATCGTTTTTGCGGACCGCGAATCCAAAAATTTCTGAAGATCAAACACAACTCTGTTTGCCTCGTAAGCCAAGTTCGACAAAATGTGCAATGCCGGAATCGTAAACAAAAAGCTTTTGGGTGTTCAACCATTATTCTCCAAAAACCGCGCAATGATAAACGAAAAATTTATCCTTCACATGACAAAAAGTGAGCACCCGAATACAAGCGGGGAAAACGAGAAAAAACACAACTAATGTTAAATCGAGAACAAAAACAAATTCACAGAATGATTAAACTTAATTCAACGCTGTCAATTCTTCACAGGTCATCGGCCTCGACATCGCTGCCAAACGAGTAGTCGGATGAAGAAGACGCCTCCCAGTCGCTGAGCAGCGTGAAGCAGTCGGGCATGTAGTCGATGTCGGCAAAGTCCTGGCCGCCGGCGAGCATCTCTGAAAAGAAGAAATTAGTGACAGAACACGAACCGCATCAAGTAAAAGAGGCAAAGTTGCGCGCTATTTCGGAATAGGGGCCCACTTTGATTGTTCTAAACAACACGTTTGCTCGGGCAATTGGTGTGCTGCTTTCGGTACCAGCTAATAAACTCGAAGAAAACATGGCAACAAACCCCAGGTTTGGTACAATAAAAGTGGGTCCCCTATTCCAAAATAGCGCCAAAATTTGTGTGTAAAGACAAGGCTCCAAACGCGCTATTTGCCAGAGCTGCGCGAAAGGAAAGGAAGCCAGCAAGCATGCCAAGCCACGAAACGCTCAAAGCACTCACTTGGGGCCTTCTTGCTCTTGCCGCTCTTCGACTTCTTGACGTCCTTGATGACGAGGGTAGTGTTAGCGACGGCGTCCATCTGATGGGGTCGAGTGTGTAGTGTCGAGACTGAAAAAAAAGATAAATTAAATAAAAAAGCGACAACATCGAGGAAATGGAAAGTGAAAATCAAAAAGTTCCTAAACCTCGGAGTAGAGCGCGCGATCGAGAAAACGGAAAACCGTGTTGGGAGAAAGAGGATGTCGCGCCTCGAAAGCTTTATCAACCAGTTTTTAAATTAACGTTCCAGAAAGCAGCGTGAGATTGAAAGGAAACCAAAACAAATCGCGCTATTCGAGGAAACGGAAAGTAAAAATTAAAAATTTCGCAAAAGAAATTAAATTAAAAGTAGCGAGAGATTGAAAAGAAAAATAAACTAGATAAAAAATCTCAAAACCATCGATGAAAGGGTAGGTGAAAATGAAAAATTCGTAAATGCTAGAGCAGAGCCGGCCGTCGAGGAAATGGGAAATCGTGGCGAGACCACGACCGTAACACAGAGAGCGTCAGTAGTAACGCCTCGGAATCCATCAGTCGCCTGTTTGAACTTTTTCTCTTTCTCTCGCTGTTTCTCCGCTCTCTCGCCCACTAAAAATTGATCTTAAACATATTTCGGCGTATTTTTGCATGGAGATTCCGGCAAAAGCTAGGATATCCGATCCCAACTCTTGCGAGGGATCTTTTCGAGGTTTTCGAAGGCTTACTTCCGTGGAATATGATGAGGCGCTGGTTGCGGGCTTTTGTTTTTGCCAACGGGCTTTTTCTACCACTGTTGCTCGCAAAAGAAGATTCAATTGTTTGTTTTGCCTCCCGAACTGCCGAATTGGGCTTGTTCTCACAGCGCTCATGCCCAAATTTTGCTTTGTAAACTTGGAAAGTGCCAGTAAAGTCGTTTTCGGAGTCGAAAGGTGGTTGGAATGGCTTAAATGGTTGATATCGCATGAGGGACCCAGAATTCGCAATAAAATTTTTAAATGAGCGCCTTGGTTCTTGCGCAGTATAGGGGGGTCAAGTTTTTTCTTAGTGTTTTTTTCAAATATAAATGGTGGAAATGTTTCTAAATGGTTTTTTACTGTTCCTAAACTAAAAACTTTATAATTTTTTCTGAAAATAATAATTTTCGACCAAAGAAAGGCCAATTTTGACCAAAATTTCGACTTTTTAAAACATTTTACAAAGTGTTTAGAGAGTTTTTCTAGTTGAAATGAATTATTGTTGAGTAGCTGAAGTTGAATGTATTCAATATAGTTATTGTTTTCAATTAAAATCTTCCCCGACGTCCGCTCCACTACTACTGCCCACGTCCGGATTTCCATCCGCTCCGCAACTTCGGCCTTGACGCCGTGAAGGCAGGCGCGAATCGGGCCGCGCGGATTGAGTGTTCTTTTGAGGGGTGCGTGAGGTGAGAGAGTGGGGAAGAGGGAGAGACAGCAGAGAAAAACAGACAAATATCCCCGACAATCAGACAAACATCCCCATCAATGGCTAGCTATCTTCTCTGCCATCTGGATTCGGCCACTCGCCTAATGGTGCCCATTCCGAGACGGTCCGCGGGTAGCGCTTTTTTTCAGGGTTACTGTAGTTGATTTTACACGTGCCGCCTTGATAATACGATCTACTACGGATTGTGCTAGTTTTCTATAGTTTATTTTCTTTTTCTCAATTATAAACCGAATTTTCGCGATATAAATATTTTATTTAATCTTCAATATTTAATTTAAGACATTCAAGGTTCACTATGATTCAAACAATCCAAAAATTTTTGTAGGTTTTTGTGATGGATATTGGTACGATACTAAATAAAACTGGAGCTTATCGGACGTCAGCGGTAGTTTCGGGCTAATATAGTTGATTACAGAAAAATTATAGTGTATTTTTTTGAAACACCGAGTTTCCAGGCCGCAGTCTTTGTCATCGTGTCTTACGCGCTTATTTAAAACGCGATGCTTTTGTAAAAACAATAAGCAAACTTATTAAAAAGTGTTTTCAAACTTTCTATTAATCCAAAACTACAAAAAAAACTATAAACATACACGATTTATTAGTAACAGATAAGCCAAATAAAATTACTTGCTCCCTTTAGAGACCAGGCTCGATTGACCAATGCCATTTTTTTGATCGAATCGACCGCAATTAAAATGGTTCAAGAATTTCGAACGTCGACGTGTGGCATTTTTCTCCAATGTTCCGTCAGGAAAAGGTGCTTCCGCTAAAATTCGGGCGTTTGAGACGATTTTTAAAGTTGTGCCGGCTATAAAGCTCCGATAAGAAAATATATAGGGCTCTTAGTCGTTAAAGGAAGACATTTATGTATACTTCATGAAATTCTTTATAAGATTGCCCGAACTTTACAAATTTGACACGCTCGAAATATTTAATAAAATAAAAAAGACAAAAATAATATGGCATGGCAAAACTGCACGAAACGCAAAGGGTAATATGGCGTCGACGACCCGAAAAAACATGCCTTTTCGTGAAACATTTTGTTTTTATGTACGGTGCAAGAGTAACTATACAATTTAATATTTAGGCAAGAACACTAATACAAAACATTTTTGTCAGTTTTAAAGGGAAAATGAAGAAGGCGTCGTTGCAATTATATTTTCTTTCTAGTCCCTATCTTTAGCGAAACAGGATGTGACTAGGGTTGTTATATGAGTTGACTTGAATGCAAGTTAACTTGCCAAAAATTATGCAAACTCCGACTTGCCTTCGAGTTTACTTGAATGATTTGAGCTCATTTTCCTGCAAGTTATTTTGTTGGCAAGTAAACTTGGGATGCAAACTCAACTCGATGGCAAAATAACTTGCCAAGTTTTCACTCGAATGCTGGCAAGTTTTTTTGGTGGCAAGTCAACTTGCCATGCAAACTCAGTTTGATGGCAAGTTAACTTGCCTGCAAAATAACTTGTCGGAAGTCGCGGAATGTTAATTTATGCAAAATCGAAATTTTAAGATTTCTCAGACAAGGATCCTGGTCGAAAGTGCCGACAGTGTCCATAAATACCGTGTCTAAAAGACCGAAATACCGACAGATGCTTTAACAACGCACCGCGCGAAGAAAAACCTCTCAAAAGAAACAATAAACCGAACGACTACGGAATGTCTGACCATTGGCGAAATAGTGAAAATGCCGACAATTAGCCAAACTTAAACATCGATAGTGCCGTGTCCCTGGTAGATCGAGAACTTTAACAATTTTACCATTTACGACACGTGGATGTGGGATTAATGTGGTTTTCGGTATTTCGGTCTTTTAGACACGGTATTTATGGACACTGTCGGCATCTTCCACCAGGAGCCACGTCTGGGAATTGCCATACTGTCTATTTCAGCTTACAATTTCGATTTTGCATAAATTAACATCACGCGACTTCCGACAAGTTATTTTGCAGGCAAGTTAACTTGCCATCAAACTGAGTTTGCATGGCAAGTTGACTTGCCACCAAAAAACTTGCCAGCATTCGAGTCAAAACTTGGCAAGTTATTTTGCCATCGAGTTGAGTTTGCATCCCAAGTTTACTTGCCAACAAAATAACTTGCCCGGATCAAGTAAAGTTCCTGGCAAACAAACTTGCGTGCAAGTCAACTCATATAACAACCCTAGATGTGACAATTTATTAACTCACTTCCAGTTTTTGATTCGGTTATCTTTTTCACAAAACATTGTTTTTTCAGGATGGGTAGATTTGCATACCTTGCATTCATCACACTGCCCGGACTGGCAATTTGCTGTGGAAATGGATTAACGCAGCTTCGCCATCGTGAAACGCTTTCCATAATGAAATGTGTTCCAACGCTGCCGGTACGTCGCAAAAACTGCTTTTATGCCGATTCAGAAAGTTCGAAAAAATGTTTCATTTCTGAAATTAATGTAGTCACGGAGGAAACTTCTAATCTTCAAGGCTTCGTCGTCTTTCGAAGGATAGGATTGGTTTTTTTTTGCGGGTAGCGTAGGTATTGCAAAATTTTATTTATAATTTTTAGAACTAGTAGAGAACAACGTGAGGACAAAAAAAGTAACTTTGTGATATCGTCTAAGAAAAGTATTTTTTATTTTGGATGCTGTTAATCAGAGCGAGCGGCTGAATAATGCCATAAGGTCACGGAAAGACCGGAAAAAATACTGGGATTGCCAAGGATCTCATGGGTTTTGTCGTGAGTTTGCAAGCTATTTTTCTGATTTGTGAAATTTAAATTTGAACGAAGACGCCACTTTTCTCTAGTTGAGGAATTTTTTGACTAACGAACACATCGTTTAAAACAAAATTTTTTTAATTAATTTTTATCAAAAAAACTATAGAAACTGATCCGAAATTGAACAAATTTGGAAAATGACGCGAAATCTTGATCGACATTACGAAAACAGTCGAAAACGTTTAACAGCCTTTCAAAAAAAACACGTTTTTCCGCGATAACTTTTGTGTTTTACAATATTTTGCGATAAAAATTCGGCTGCACATAGTTTTGCTCGGTCCGGATCACAGGTAAAAATCTAATCGGATCGGATAAAAATGGGGCTGCGTCTGCGTGCGTTGCGTATCGTCGTTACCAGGATAAAATCATAGAGAAAAGAGACCAAGAAAAAAAATTAGTGCTTCTGAAATCCAGGCGTATCAAGGAATCTTTTGAAACATGTTATTTTTCAGGGTCAGCCGGACCCGTGTGTTATTCAGACGGGTGGCCGGATGGCATTCTGCCAACCCGACCACGATGGGGCCGACTTTTTCTGTTGTGGATCGACTGCGCTTTTGGTGGAATTAATTGCTCCTGCCTCTACGATACAGGTTCGTCGGCGGATGGTGTTGTAGTCTAAAGGTATCTGGAAGTCGCAAAAACTTTACAAAAGTAGACTTTAACAAAAATTAAAAAATAAGATAGATAAAAAAACTTAAAATAAGAAAATTAAAAATAAGGAAAATGTTAGCAAAATTTCATCGTAACCTATTATTTCTAAGGTATTAGGTTAACGCTGATTTTACCAGTACCCTCGATGTCTAGCGGCGTAGATTTAAAAAGCTTTGATAATTTGAAGACACCGTCGATGCACTAATACATCGCCTTATAGGGCTGCCGACGGCATGTGTCGATCCCCCCCCCATCAACAAATTGCCAAGTAGCCAACAGGGGAGAGAGAGCGCGCCCAGGGGAGAGGCGCAGAGACATTTTCTTTTCCGCGCGTAATCGATTGTCTATGCCGTCGGCATCCCTTTAATGTATTTCAGTTGCTACATAGCCTGCAACATTTTAATGCAAAGGTCGCCGTCAAATTTAAGCGTTTTAACCGTGGTAAACTAGCGAAAACAGGAACGGCCGTTTTAAACTAACGAAAACTACTATATTTTTCGAATTTTTCTACTAATTTTACTACGGAAATTTTCGAAAAAATAAAGGTTTTGGCAAGAAAATGTGTTCCGGCCCGGATTGACGAATGAATTCCAGCAAATTTTGATCGCGTTCACCATTCCTGATTAAAATCAACCTCCTCTTCCTTCAATTTATTTTATTATCAATTCAATGCACATTGGTTATGAAATTCTAGTCTTTATTAATTTTACTTTTCAAAGTAAATCAACCATATAATGCATGAATTTTGGTGATTTCAGCTGCAAAAAAGTTGGCATCATTTTGATGCAAAGGCAGCCGTCAATCTAATTTACGTAAAACAACTTAATTTAATTTGAAGCATTACCACAAGAAAAGGTTGTGCAAATAAATATGTTTTGACGAAAAAAGCCTAAGATTTAGTTACGAGTTGGGTTATTGGTCATAGTTCTCGAGTACTAATTAAAATCAACAACCTGATGCTTCAAGTTATTCTCATACCAATTATTTTATCAGTGGATATTAAATTAAATGCTAATATTTATTAATTTTACTGTTTGTAAACTGTTTCAACCAAAGCTTACATCTTTTATTCTATGAATCATTAAAAAGATATAAAAACGAATACTATAATGTACTTAATAATACTTAATAAAATGTTAAAAAAAATAAAATAAACCATTACTCTGCCGGCATGACACATAGGAGACACCGCTAATAGCGGAAACACAGCTGTGAGTGGCCGTTTAGCGGTGGCACAGCTGTGTAGCTAGGAAAATTTAGCGGTGTCACAGCTCGCGTTCACTCGCAGCTGTGTCTCCGTTACCGCCGCCCCAGTGCGGTGTCACAGCTGTGTCGGGCATCCCGGAGTGGAATCACAGCTGTGTCGGGCATCCCGGAGCGGAATCACAGCTGTGGCCCGGGACTTAGTCATTTTTTCGGGTCAAAAAATAAAATTTTCGTAAAATATATGTTTTATATGTCGGAAGTTTTCTCGTGACTGCTTTCGACTCCATTTACGTCGGGTTTTTGATTTAACACTAATTTTGGCCGACAAGGAGACGGTCCCAACCGGACATAAAACTGCGATTTGAGATTGGCACACTTATAGAGCTTGAAGAACTGAAGCCGGCAAACTAATTTTTATTAGCATGGAGTGTAAATGAACCAATTTATAAGCCTTTGAAATTTTCGCTATACCTTCATAGGCTTCCTCCGCTCCCCGACCGATGTATCATCGTGGTCTAGTGGATAAGGAGTTAGGCGAAGCGTGGGGCAAAGTAACGAAGGTTCGGATCCGCGCAGGATTTTATTTTTTGCTTTTTGGACCAGAGCTACTATTTAGCATCATAAAGCCCTAGAATAAACCATTTCACCTCCAGGAACGCCTCCAAAACAATAAGCGGCGCGGGGGCACAACGGTGGCACAGCTGTGGGGGATACACAGCTGTAGCACAGCTGCGGCACAGTTCAATAATCTACAGGTGCCACAACTGTTGTTCCGAGTGGTGTCACCTATGTGTCATGCCGGCAGAGTACTCACGAACGTAATGCCTAATTTTAATTTATTTTTACTGCCAAATAGTCTGAAACATTTTAATGCAAAGGTGGCCGTCAAACTTAGTATTTTTAAAGGTTACAGCGGTGCGATTTAATTCAAACAGGAAAGACCGTTTCAAACTTTACCACAAAAAAAATCTAAAAAAATCTAGTGAAAAAATATGTTTTAGTGAAAAATGTTTAAAGTTTGGTTATGAGTTAGGTAATTTCCAGTGGCATGTGTATAGAATTCAACCGGGTTCAGAATATTTATGAGTACTGATTTAATATTTTCGCTTAACCGCTAGTATGAAAAAAAAGAGTTTCGTAAATTTTTAAATAATTAAATTTTTTAAACCAAGACAAAAATGTGGAGGCAAAACGGCATATTTCCAGACGCGCTCTATCCCGGCCGCCCACGACGTCCACCTTCAAAGTAATGCGCTGACGTTTCGGCAAGGTTCGTTTGAAAATTCTTGGCTATCCTAATCAGCTGTACTCCAGAATTTTTACACTCTTCTACAACATGGTTTGGACGCAACATTTTTCCAAAATCCAATTTTTTTGCAGCATTAAAATGGCTTCTGGAGTTCTGACGTTTTTTACGCAAGCATAAAACTAGTGGTTGCTGTACGCACTTAGCAATACGTACTAATAGACGAACTTAATTTTTCAAGCTGTTGGGAGAGGATTGGCGCTAGGAACTTTTCAGAAAATGATTGTGCATTCCGACTGCTAACCTTTTTCACAATTTTTGGACAAAGTCATGCGAAACATATTTTTTGAGAGTAGCCGAATAGTTTTTTATTTTTGCTACATTTTTAATGGTATTGATATGAATCTAATTAATTAAATAGAATTTATTGCATCGATTGCTTGATTAAATTAAATTGGATTAAATTACATTCGTAAATTAAAAATTAAGTAATTTATTGTTTTTGTGAAATATGAATACATTTTATAGAATTCAAATCGGTGAAAAGGGAACCTCCCACTCTACCCCAAACCCCGCTTCAAACGCCAGTGATCGTGCAGAAAACGCTGCAGCCGCGGAAGATGGCTTTGAAACCCGGCAAACCGAGTCTTCAGGTAAGCGAATGTTTCATTACTGGGTGCACAGTTTCGCATGTTTTTCTAGATAATTTTGTCATGACGAACATTCCAAGGCATTCCTTCATTTGCCACGTCCTATATTTTTTTAGTCATTAAAAGGGTTGTCAAGCCCTGGTAGCATTTTTAAGGCTTGATTGTCTCAAGTTTACGGTGTTTTTGATGCGCTTTCCTTTATTTCGTAGCAACGAATTACTGGAGCACTTCAAACAAGCCCACCACATTTTCCTCTATTTCTTAAAGGGGCTCGAAAATCTGGTCCACGGCAAATAGCCAGATGCGACCGCAACGCGACCGCGCCTCATGACCTTTTGCCCCCGTTTGGACGTGAAAACGCTTGAGTTTAAAAATTATGACGCTATTTCTGGAATCCTCATTAAATTTTGAGCATTCTAGATTGGGTGTCTTGCAGGGCATTACGACATGTAATCGCCGCGCACTCAAAGTGTCGTTTTCGCCCCAATAACATTTCGGTTTTACTCAAATATTTTACGTTTTACCAAATCACTGTTCTGGTATTTCCCGGCAGTGACTCTTCCGTTTTTTTGACCTGTAGGTTCAATCCCGCATACACGAATTTTAACTTTTAATTCCCTTCCCGCAATTTTAATTCCCGCATACCCCTTTAAATACAATGTTCCTCCCTAATGTGAGGCTATCAAATATCGGCAAGTAATAATTCAGCGGTATGAGACGGTTGACAGAGCATTCGGACCAGTATGTCCATTCTCGCACGCACGAATTTTGACTTCCGAGCCCCTTTAAAGTATTGTTATTATGAAATTGATCCCTGCGAATCATTATCGTGAGCTAAAAATAACCGGGCCGCAATTTGTTTGAAATGTGCGTCTAAGAATAATGGAACTATTGTCAATTTCAATGCACTGGCGTTTGAGCAATTTTCTGAAACAAATTTTTTTGAACGGCGGCTGGCTCGCTATTTATATAGCCGTTTCGTTGATTTCGGGTATTTAGCTGCTTGCGCAATTAGCCGTAAAGACAATTTCGGTTTTATCAAGGCCTTTGAAACATGTGATTTTTCAACGTTCTCTTAGTTCTCTTTCCCGCTCATTTTGTCGCGAATTTATTCTTTTTATTTATTCATGTATATAACTACCTTTTAATCCTGAATTAGACGTAGAAATACCGTCGTTTCAAGGGCTTTCGAATGGTGTAACTATCATTACGATCCTATACTTCCGCTTCGAGTTAGATGGAGGTGTTTTATACTGGGACACCCTGTGCAACTCTTCCATTTTACCTATTTAACTTCAACGGTTTTATTTATAGTCAATCTTCGTTGTTAAATTGATGAGTTGTCTTGTTTGAGGATCATTTATTTGTATTGCACATCGAAAGACGAAATAGAGATTAAAGACGCAATAATCCGTTGATGTAGTTATTTTAGAGAAACATGAAATGTTAAGAACAATATGGCACTACTAGAAAAAAATGGTTTGAAAAATTGAATAGATTTTTGCGAAACATAAAAATCGTGGGGAAAATAGAAAATTGCTGTTGAAAAATGGTTTCATAAAATCTAAAATAAAATTATCGCCGGGTGCCGTCCTCGAAAAAGACACCGCCGTCGATCGCGCAATACCTGGGGCAGATACCCTTTTCGCCCAGGGGACCGTCGTTTCCGGATTGGCCGGACGGGCCGGGGTTTCCGTCTATTCCGGGGGCTCCTGGCGGTCCTAGAAAGATTAATTTTATTAATCTCTCGCTCTCTCGCTCTCTCTCTCCATCTGTCTCGCTCTCGCGCTCTCTCTCTCTCTCTTTCCCTCTCTCTCTTTCTCTTTCGCACTATCTCCCACCCTTTATCTCTCACTCTCTCTCCTCTCTCTCTCTCTCTCTCTCTCTCTCTCTCTTTCTCTCTCCACCTACCCGGTGGTCCAGGCGGTCCTGGTGCCCCTTTCTGTCCCTCCACACTCATTCCATCTTGACCAGGAGCTCCAGGCGGTCCTGGTGGTCCAGGAGGTCCAGGCTCACTTGGAGCTGAAGCTTCGCTCGCTCCCGGCTTCGCCCGAGCACCAGGCTGTCCATCACCTCCCGGCTTTCCGGCCTCGCCGGGCGGGCCTAAATTTGTACGATACTTTTTGGCAGTTTTAGGATTTCTTTGTCCTTCCTACCTCTGCAAGATTAGTATAGTTTGGCCCCGGGTGCCGGTTAAAAAGATGTAAAACATGTATTTTTAACCAGTTAGTTCACACGGTACGATATTAGGTCTTAATTAATATTAGAATTGCCGTGTGCATTGAACCCTTTTTTAGATATGGAATGACCCGGCTTATCGAAACCTTAAATATTATAATGCGCTTAAAAATTGAGAAAAGTGACCGGAAATGGCTAGAACACAGCGGCCCGGCGACTAATAAAAGGTCCGGTAGCCCTCGAGACTATGGAAGACCGCAACGCGTGCGATAGACGCGTCACGCAATTACGAAAGCAGGCCTGCGTAGCTAAAAACCGGTTGCTATTCCGCGCAGCCGCACACGACGCTCCCAAAACATGTACAGTACACCTTTTCCCGGTGACCATCTGGACTGAATCCATGGGCGGTTGTGAGAATTATGAAGGTTGAGGTCAGAATACGCCGGGAGGGGACGATTAGAAACCGCTCTCCACGGAACCTCACGAATCCGCGAAACCAATTTTTTTAACCAGAGAAATATTATCAGCCTTTTTTAAAGGACCCGACAAGACAACGCTATAAATTTTTTCTATCGGTGTTTTGTCGATTTTGCCCCTATCATTTCATTGCGTGATCGATTACAATCGCCATATGGCGGCCAAGCGGCATATGCGCTGCGTGTTGCGCTTGCAGCAAAAAGATCGACAATCGACAGCCCTTCCTTTAAATCGACATCGACAGCCCTTGAAAACGCCATTTTTGTGAGGTGGTATATACCAACAGACGCGGAAAGGTTATTGATGCGCGCACTGGACGCCAGCGTGGACCTATAGATGCGAAACACACATTGTTTGACGATACGCCCAAATACACTAAGTGGAGGTTCAAGAACTCTACAATTTTCCGGATTTTTTCAAATTGTTAGGAACGGGTCGTATATGTTTGGTATCAGTTCCGTAGATGCCACCGAGCCAATTAAAACCCACCAAAAGCCCGCGATTTGCCAGTTTTGTGCCCTTAAAAATGAACGACCCATTAATACACAGCTTCGGCGCTTAGGTTTTAATTGTTTTGCAACATTTTTGTTAGCATTGAAATTCAGGGCAAATCATTACCATGGATTCCGTTTGAGAAAAAAGGAGTAAAAAGGTCGGAATTACCGACAAATGCAGATCAGAAAGTCGCTGATTATCTGCAACCTTGTGAATGCGCGAAACATGCTTTTTCCACCAAATAATATATGATCAATCTTTGTTTAAAGGAGCGGAGAAGCGAGCACTGTTCTGACGACTATAGTTTTTTATGCATTTTATCGCGCATGCCGCGTACGGCGCATCATTTCATTGCGTAATCGATAACGACCGCTATGTGGCGGCGAAACGGATCAGGCTTTATGTTGGTGGTACGCCCAAAAGCATCGCCAAGAATCTCAGCAGAATTGCCCTTCCCGTCCCCCTAAAATGTGCTGTTTGGGAGATGGGATTTCAACAAGCCTGCAAAGTTGTTATTAATGATCGCACCAGTCACAAAGGATGGACCCATAAGTGTGAAACACACTTTCTTCATGAGACGCCCACATATTAAGTGGAGTTTCAAGAACGTTAAATTTTTCCTAAGTGGTGGAATCGTCAGGAACGACTGCGACATGTTTGGTATCGATCGCTTATTTGACCAAACCAAGTCCACCAAGATTTTGGCGATTTGGCAGATTTTTTACGAAAACATTCGGCCGTCCGATTAACGCTCCGTTTCAGCCCTTAGTTTTCAATTATTTTGCAACATTTTTTGATCCATTTAAAAGGAAGGACAAATCATCGCCATGGATTGCGTCGCGCGGATACCTCTTTTGCCTGTCTTGCGTTAATCGAGAAAGTCGTGCGCTGAAATTTGAGAAAAATAGCCGGAAATCGATCGAATGATCTAAAGCTTTCGATTGCATCAAAGTCGACGGATCCGTATTTTTACGGATCACTTTCTATAAATCGGCTAGGCTCATTAAATTTATGACAATCGCGGTGGTTTTTCGCTGTGTAAAATAGCCTGAGAGACACCCTTGGAAAACTGGTAATCCTACTATCCTACTATATATAAAAAAATAGTGTTTGTGTGTGTGTGTGTGCATTTGCATGCAACTTCCGTCCGTATGTTCCAGTCGTATCTCAATAGGGGAGGAAGTTTGGGGTACGTATGATACGTCATTAGATGCGTAATGGTCATGACACGACTGCACGCATATCAGCTTAGGCAAAAAGTGCTATTTTCGATATTAAAATTAAGTTTTTGTGAAAATCTCGGGAACCCACTTTGTTAGGAATCAATTAGCATACACCGGAAGTGGGGAGAGCCTAAATAAAGGGGTGAAGGGCGAGCGCTTTTCATTTTCTATTCGGGGCGTCGGCTCGAATTAGGCAAAGTGTAGAATATCATGGGGGGCTAGGCGGGGCCAGGGGTGAAAAGCCGCGTAGCGGCTTTTCGACCCTGGTTTTACTGAAAAAGTCAATTCAGTCAATGAAATTGGACCAACTATTAACTAATTCCATGAGCAAGTTTCCATGCCAATCGTCAAAACACCTTTTGTTTGACCCTGGTTCGTTAACGGGGGGTGAGGGTGGGGTTTAGCCTATGGGAGAATTTTTTTTCGATAGGCTAAACCTCTCCTCCCTACCTTTCCTTTCCTATGCCTACACAAACCAGACGAGGTTGCATTTGACCGATTCAAATTGGCCAACCGAAGCGATTCAAGCATATCGCTGAAGCAGTCTCCGCCGAGTATTGATACCTTTGTTCGCCATTCATATACAGCTAGAGATTAACGGATTCCGGCACGCAGACAAAACCCACATTCACGAAACATCAAATTATTTCACACATCAATCAAACCACACTTAACCCTATTTTTGGCCAATCGGTTTCCAGACAAAATGCTCTGAGATGTGGAGATTTAGGCCCGTAGATACCTTTAGCTTTGCAACAAACGAAACCCATACGTTTTCGAAATCTCAAGGCTTTCGCTCGCGTGAACGTCGAGCAACTTACGCCCGGCCTTATGCCTCGGACCAGTTTTATGAGGCGGTTCGGCCTCGTGTTCAATTTATGAAATTAAAGCTCATATTCGCTTTCAAAGGTAGCGTGATAGGCACCTTTCGACACCATATTATACACCATAATCTCCCGATACGTTCAATTTTACTGGAAAATCCAACGCCGCACATGCATTGAAGCATTCCGAGGGCAGGATACCGTTAGAATCCGCGAAGCATCGTTTTTTTTGATTATGGTTTGTTAGGGGGGAGGGGGGGATGGGAATTTATCGAAAAGGGACGCCCCCCGCCCACTTCCTCTCCCGTTGCAATGCAATTCGGAAAGGTTGAAAACCCCGGCAAAGTTGGATGCATTAAAGGCTTCCGATTCGTCAGCTAGCTTTGGAATTTTTGCAACATATCTTTTTTCGTTTCTGGATCTATTTAATATGAATTTCTCCTCGCTGGACCTTTTTGAAAAATCGTGAGGGTGAGCGAGAGTGGCAATGAGAAAGGCAGTGCGTGTGAAGTTGAGCGAGATCCAGAGCGAGCGCGAGAAAGAGAGAGAAAGAGAGAGCGAGATCGAATCGAGAGCGAGAGCGAGAGAGAGAGGTAGAGATAGATAGAGAGTGCGAGAGAGAGAGGGAGAGTTTGAGCGAGAGTATGACTGAGAACGAGCGTGGGAAGACTAAGAATACGTCATAGAGAGTGAGAAAGCCATAGAAATAGGATAGAATACAACGCGATACGCCTTCGCCAGCGCCAGCACCGCAGCCATTTTAAAGGGACGGTAACCACACATACCTGGTGGTCCAAGGGGTCCGGGTGGCCCCCCTCCGCTTGCAATCGCTGGTTGGCCATCATTTCCGGGTCCTCCAGGTGGTCCAGCCGGGCCAGGAGGCCCAGGTGGCCCTGCCGGACACGGCTTACATGGTGGATGAGCCATCCCCTCGCAGGGCATCATCGTCGATTTTCCGTGCGTTCCTATAAGTATTATTTAAATTAACAGAAGGCCAAAGTTATTGTATTCAAAAGCTGATTATTTTCACAAATCGGATGTTCTAATTTTAAGCTAATTTAACTTAAAATTAATTTGAATTGAGACTAATATAAATTTAAGTAATTCAATTTAAACTAAGAAAAATTTAAGTGATTAAGCTTAATTCAAAATAGATAGTTCCTTGCCGCCATGGTACAATATCGTTGGGCACAAAGAAGCGCTTTGGCTATTGGATGAAAGATCATTTTTACACCCTTTTTCGCGGAGCTTGTGTTTCTGTTTCGCCTATTGGGTACTGTCACAATTATCCAATTTTTATATTATAAATAGAGTAAGTGTTTTACGTGTGGTTTTTTGTTATTCTTAAATGCAAGTACTACGTATTGTTATTAAAAAATACAAAATTATCGCATTTTCGTCCAAAGTTTTATTTCTTAAATTTTTGGAGAGTTTTCCATGTGAAATCTAGCTAAAACTAAATTAAAACCCTATCACAAGTTTTGATTGGTTACGCTCAGTCCAAAAAAATGCCTAACGTCATAGTAATTAATTTAATGGTGTTTTTGGTAAATTTAGCTATTTAGATATTTCGAATGGCAAGCCATTAAAAAAGTTCGAGAATTTTTGAATTTCAGTGGAAAAACCTATCTTTTCTATAGTATTTACAAAGTTTGTAAAGTCTTGACGATTAGGAATAGTAAAAAAACAGTTTAGAAACATTTCCTCGATTTCTCTTAGGAAAATTTGATCCAAGGGGAAAAATGCCCCCCGATAATGCCAAAGTACCACGGGCCGCAAAAAATAGAAAGATATAATGCAAAATTTTACAAAGGATTGTTCCATTCCCTTTAATATAGCTTTAAAAACCCACCATGCATTCCATGAGCTCCTGGCCTACCGGGCTTGCCGGGTCTTCCGGGCGTTCCGGCGGCTCCTGGAGGTCCTGGTTTGCAGCAGTTTCCACATCCGGCGCCGAATCCGGAACCGGCTGCTGAACCGGATCCACTTCCGCTTCCGGAGTATGATCCAGCTGCGCTTTCACTTCCGGAATGTATACTCGAAGCTGTTCCGCTTCCGGAAGCATGTCCAGATGCGGAACCAGGTCCTATTCCATGCCCGGATCCGGATAGATCGGCTAGGGTTTGTCCGCCCGGGCCAACCAAATCTGGCCCGTGTTGTCCGCCATTAGCATGTCCACTTCCGCTTCCAGTATTGTACGTCTGCGGCCCCGGGTTGTATGCCTGAATCGAAATTTCGTTGATTTAATTTCAATTACTTGACTTATTCGATTACCTACTATACTAACTATCCCAGCAACAATGAAAATACCCAAATTCAATTATGAAACTTTCATTTTTATCGCATTTTTTTAACGGGAAAGGCGCTGTGAAAAAGACACATTGCCCCGGCAAGCAAGGGAACTAGTTCAAAACATGCTTGTGGCCGGAAAATGATCGGAATTCTCGAAAAACAAACATGTTTTTCCGTCGACAAAAATGGGTCTTTGTATATTTCCCGCCCTCTATCGAATGGCATTTGCAAATTAACGAAAGTGTTCAAAATGCCGAAAATCGATTCCCTCCGTTTTCATATGTGGAGCAGATAGTTTTCAAGCAAATCAATTTGGCATTGTATTTTGGCTCTAATTCTGAACCCCTGTGAAAGCTAGCGCAATTTTTGTAGACAACAGTGAAATATACATCTTGAAAAGCATCTAAAGTTCTCAAAATGACTTTCCAAATTAAACTCTCGCTTCCATGATGTTTTTCAAAAAAAAAAACAGCCGAAAGCAAAACACGACTTGGGGTACACATAGGATAACGGGGGGAAGTCAAATTTTTGCGATTTTCGATATTTTGAAAACGCGAATCGATAGAACATCAAAAATTATACTAAGAGATTTTTGTACAACGCGAAAAAATGTGTTATAAAAGTTTTATAGTCTAAAAACTATTTTTGAAAACTATGGGCAGCACATAGGGGATAACGGGGGGGGATGATTTCGGCGTTTTGAATATTTTCGATATTTTGAAAATGCCATTCGATAGAGGGCCGAAAAATATACTAAGAGCTTTTTGTACAGCCCGAAAAAATCATATTGAAAAATACTTTTATCAGAAAAAAAGCCCTGTCTTCTCCAATGATATTCTTGGCTTTGCATAATTTTCCCGGATTCGAATGACGAAAAATGAAAAATGCTCTTGCCGTCCCTTTATCTAGGCTACCGCGACTTCCGGTGCATGCTAATTTGATCCTAACAAATTGGGGTGTCCGATTTTCCATGAAAAACTTAATTTTAATGTCGAAAACATCATATTTTGTAAAATCTAATATGCGTGCAGCCATCTCCAGCCCATTACGCACCTAATGACGTATCGAACATATGCCTAAGTACTTCCCTTCTTGAGATACTGCACTGGGTTCACGGTGACGGAAGTTGCATGCAAATGCACACACACACAGACACTATTTTTTTATATATAGTAGGATCCCTGTGATTTATGTATTGGGCTTGACAAGTCGAATCGAGAAGAGTTTCTTTTGGACGACCTCGCTTGATTTTCGTCTTAATAAAAAAATGTTTCACCCACTTACCTGAAAAATTACCAAGCATGACTGGTAGTGGAGCTGCATCAGGTGAAACAGTAATCAGTAACCGTTTAACAAACCTTTTTATCGACTATTATTCTTACATTATTATTGCAATTACAATTATTATTATTATTACATATTACTTCCCTTTTCCATTGTAAATTTTTTGATTGGTTTTGTAATTTTGCCCACCTGTCTGGCCGTCCGGTTCTTCAGCCGCCCGTCAATTTGGCTGATATTCGACCAAATGTCGGTGGCCGAATCCTAAAAAACCCTATTTTTGCATAACTTTTGAAATTTGAGAGGTTACGGCAAATTCTGGCCATCTAAGGTAATTAAAGCGGCGCGTTAAAACAATTCAATAAATATCTGATTGAATTCAATAGATATTCCGTCCCCCTGTAAATTTAATGCTTCAAGAAATTGTGATGTTTACTTTCAAGAAAAGTGTTTTGATTTGAGCCTGATTGTGCGTAGAATTTCTGAAGGTTTCTGAGGTTAGGCCCGCGACAATTTCGTTACTAAATTAAATTAAAAAATTATGTCTGAATTAGTAGATGATTAAATTCGTGATCAAGAATTAAGATATTGGATATTTCGTTACCAAAATTACTTTATTAGTGTTGTCCAAATTTTATGTTTCAATGAATTCCTGGACTGAATTTTTGGCGATAGCACTTAATCTCGAGACCTCTCGATCTCTAATTCTTCTTGATCACCCAAATTTCTTCCTTCAAAAAGCATAAAATTACGAAATCTTATTAGAAAAGCGGGCGAATCAAGATCGGTGAAAGGTAAATGTTTCGTTTCTCTCATATGTACCAAGGAAGTCGAACGACTTTAATTGTCTCGGCATCTATCTCCAATTTCTTTAGTTCCAAAACATGCTTTCCGCATTAAAAATGTTAAAATTTCTTGGATTTCTAGCATGGTCCTTTAATAGGTGATCTCTCACATTCGTTTAAATCCACCATTGCAACGCGAAAAAGTGCTAAACCCAGAGTTTTAAAAAATGCGTGCTAAAATTCCAGTAAAGGAATAATGTTTCGTTTAATAATTATCCGCCTGTAAAGAATCACCACGATAATAGAGTTTTTCTTTCGTTATACGTATCAAAATAAGGTTATCAAAAATTTGATGTTTAAGATCATTAAAGCGGTTTTTTATGGTGCGGCCAAATACACCTTGGACCATCGATTTTTTTTACTCCGTAAAAAATCTGTGGCAACTTAGCGTTTCGTCTTCTCGGGACGCTTTGGAAATACAATCAACTTTAATAGCGCTGTACTTGTTTGGGCTGACTTGCTTTTTGTAGATTCCCACCACGATCGGGTTCCAAAAATCGATTTTTCGAGCAATTCCGTGCTGAATTTTCCGAAGGAGACTGGGTTTGCACCGCAGCGATCCGGCAAAATTTTTCCCAACTACGCTGCGCCGCTATAACAATTGTTGCCTAATTCGATTAATTTAATTTAATTTATCTGCGCAACGAGGCGTTGTAAGTGAAAGCAGCGCAAATTAGGCGTTGAAAGTTTTTCAAAATTTATGTTTCAAAAATTTTTCGAAATACTAGTAAAAAAATAAAATCCAATACTTCGCAATAAATGACCGAATGTCAATACTCCTACGTAGCGAGTTGGCTCGAGATCTTGCGCTATTTTGCCTTGTAAAATCCGTTTAAATTAGCCTAGTCTTGGGGGATTTTCAATAGGAAAACATTTCCGGGATAAAGTAGCGTCGCAGCATCACTTTCACTGGAGCTTTGAAGAGTCTATTCCACCGAAAACCTTATGAAAAACGGATATTGCCGTTTATTTTTGTTGTATCTCGGGAACTACCTTCGCTCTTGGGTCATAACTCAGGATTGTGGTTATTTAGGGTCTGCTACACCTCTGGAACTTGTCCCTAGAGAAAAAATTGAGTAAATTCGGCAAGAAAAACTCAAATGAGGTGAGTGAAAATACAATGTTTCCGTCTACCGTGGGTAGCAGAAAAAATTGGCAAGTGATAATTCTTTTTATTAGTGTTTGTTGGTTTTTTTTTTTTTTTATTTTAGTGATACGCGATGATAGATTCTAAAATTCCCAGTTACCTTGCAATACTGTAGATTTGTGTCGACCATCTTCCTCGCCCTCACCATATACCCATAGACCATTGGAAGGGTGGTGAATACCGACACCATTGCCACAACGCAGAAAAACACTGCGGCCCCGGCCACGAAACGATACGCCTGGAATTAAAAACATTTATTTTACATTAATTTTAATTTTTTGTCATCAGGTTAGATTCATTATAATTCTAGTTTTAAGTAATTCTATTTTCAACGTTCCTTACATTACAAGTTGTTAATAATAATCATTATAATGCCCTTGACTCTCACGAAAAATCAAAGTAGACCAATATTTCGGGAAATTACTGTTAAAAATTGTTTCGGGAATTTTTATTAACCGGCCGCGAAACATATTTTTTACCCAAATTTTCGCCATTTGGCATTTCTTAATTCTTCATTTTTAGCTCTATGCTAGCTTTGAAAAAAGACTAAAAGCGGGCAAATAATGCTTATTCGCCAAGATTATTTGTGAAAGATGAATTTAACAGTTGGTTAGATCGAATTTCCTTCAAATTCCGTTCCGAATTCCGAATTCGATCTTCAATAGTTATAGAAGCTGCGTATATTTATAAATTTGTGCCTTAATATTTAAATCCAGAAAATAGCAGTATCCTAAATTGGAAAAAATTAGTGTTTCAAGAAGATATCGATGGGCGAGCTCTTAATTTGTCGCATTCTCGATTAGGGTCCTTCCTATTTCACGAAAAAATCACTGCGGCCTCCGCGAGCAAACGGTATGCCTTGGATTAAAAACCTTTTTTCATAAGTTTACAATGTTTAATTTTTTGTCGGCCAGTGAAAGCTGTTTTCCAAAACTCTATCTTCAACATTCCATCATTATTATGTTGCTCTGTATTCCGCGGAAAATTATGTGGCAACGCGCAAGGCTAATCTCCACGTCGCCCTTTTCGTATTTTTTAACTAATGCTGAAACATCATTTTTAACGCAATTTTTTCGTTTTGCATTCCTTAGCTTTCATCTTTCTTAATTATTGCAAAAGCTTAAGGCAGGGCATCATGTCATGGAGTACTCGAGGGCTAGTTATTAAAAACAAACATTTTGAACAATAGATATAATTCCTTTGGTATCGCATTTTTCGATAAAAATTGGTGTTTCACGAAGGTTCAAGTGTGTTTGCTGATCCAAAATTGATCATGCCAGGCTCTTAAACGCCGTACAGAACCTACGAACATTTTTTAGTTAATGGACTACTCTGTATTGAATTCGGTTCAAAATTTTGTTGGGGAGCAAAACCGTGATCAATTATTACCCAGCTAGAAGGAGTATCAATTCTTCCTGAGACCAGAAAATTTATGAAACGTCGTGATTTGAGTCTGGAAGAACCAAAAGTTACTAGAATAAGTAACTAATATAGCTTATTATAGAAAAATTCTTAGGAAGCTGAGCATACAAACTTCAAAGAAATTGGTGTTTCGAGAAGATATCGCGTGCCGAGCACTTAGTTTGTCATAATTGACTCTTGGTCTGTTGTTGCTGTTCTAGAGCCTATTGTAACACAGGCCTTTAAGGTTATCCTAAAAATTGAATATGCAGAAATCTGATCAGAAATCAAATTGAGTAACGGATTGCTGCGTATTGGATGCGTTTTTTATGATAGCACAATTGTAAACCATAAATGATCGTATTGAGAGGGTCACATATTTTTTACTTCCGTGGTTTATGGAACATGGTTTTTCCAACCCTTTGCAAAACGCCCGGATGGTCACTGGAGTTTTCCCCGATTAGACATCTTGATAGCTGTGGAAATCTAGTTATTTTATAAACTAAGTTGTTGTTCTAAAAATCCGTGTCTTTCCTGACTTATCTTTTGAGACCGAAAATTATTTTTGAGAGAAAGGGAAATTTGTTCCCCTTGGATGCAGAAGTTCACAAAACCGTAGAAATATATTAGTCCCCGCGAAAGCATGAATCATAATTTTTAAATGCATTTAAATTTTCACTTGATTTTGGTCCCTTAAAATGGGATTTCTTGTGTATTTGAAGTAATAATGATTACAATAAACTACAGAAAAAATACAAATAACGTCAGGGCTAGGAGGATAAAACAGCAAATTTTTACTATTCTAGGTTATAAAATGAAAAATACCTTAATCTTCGCCTCGATGTCGCCCATCTTGGCTGGGATGGTAGCGAAGTAAAAGAAAAGCCGAGGCGCTCAGATTACCGCCTTTTTATGCCTTACGTTGATGACATGGGGGTGGGGGAGTGGATAATCCTGCCTTGGGGCAACCTTAACGGGCAAACAATGTGATAGCCGGCGGAAACTGGTTATCGTATCGCTCTCTCTCTCTCTCTCTCTCTCTTTATCTCTCCCTCTCTACTCCCCTATCTCCCTTCTCTCTAACTGACTCACTGTCCGAACAATGAATGCTATGTCAAGATATCTGGTTCGGATGTAGTCACTGATTAAAGGCAGCGTGCCAGCAACCGAAAAATTTTGAACGGGATCGGGAATTGAAAGACAGCTCTGTTTCGGCCCAGGCTATAATTAATGCTAAATTTAAATTTTAAGCAAATCGTTGGATTTTACCGCTTAAAACCCACCGCAAGTTTCTGAAGCATCAGAAAAAGTGGTGTTTCATAAAATTTTATAGTTTGGTATTCAGTTTTATTCTAATCGGCAAAACTGATTTCTCCACTAGAACTTCACAAAAAAATTATAGTAAGTCGGATTTCCAAAGCAAAAGTTTCTGTTTCTGCTAAGTACTGGGCTCCTGGGGGTGGTTGTGAGCAGTTTGGACTTTTAGAAATCGGGTTAATTGTTCACAGCCCGAAAACAATACGTTTGTCTGGCTAATACAACCCCTTCACCTGGGGTTGTATAAAAATAGAATCCCTGGGATTTTATTAGGGAATTACGGCACCTGCTTTTATTAACGATTACATACATACCAATTTACTGGCTGAATAATTCTAACAACCTACATGCTGGAAAAAAAGTTTCATCAAATTCCCGCTTCTGCGGTGGGACCTGTCTTTAATATTGCAGTTTTCATTGGTTCAAAGGTTAATTAGGCAACATTTAATTAATGTCGTCTACTTTAGGCTCTTCTAAAGCTGGAAATTCGAGGTTGTAATTCCCAGTAAAATTGCAAGTGCAGGCACGGACATTCGTTCGGCTCATACAGCGATTATTTAGTTGGTAGCTAGCGCCAGGGCGGCCGATTTTTCAAACACAATTTGCTGACTTTTTGGACGTCAATGGGGAGAATTTTAGGTGTTTCTGCCAAATATGAGCCATCATTTTCTGACATTGTTAAGCAGTAAGTGCTGCTTAGTTTGTCCGGGCCTTCCTGATCCCTTCACACAACTATCAGCTTGGAAAGAAAGTAACGGCACAAAATCTTGAATCGCTGGTAAAACCCGCAGGAACGTCCGATTTGTAAGTTTTGATATGGCATATTTGGTGGATCTTCGGATGCTCTATCACGATACGCCCCTGAAAGTGTCTAAAAACTGACGTGGGCGAAGATACAGACCTCGTAGTTCAGTAGAAAATTGAGGAAAGCTTCCAAGCGAGATATCTCTGCATCCGCATTTTTATAATGATACCGTTAACACCAATCGAAAGCCCTCGAGGAGTAGATATCGATAGATGTTGAGATCATCAAAACGTCCGACACTGGATGGCCGAGATATGGCCCAAAATCAATACATTTTCGACTTTGGTTCTAAAGCTGAAGCAAACGTAGCAGGCTTTTGGCCTGCGCCGGCCAAAATGTATGGGATTTCGAGAAAAGTTCTAAAAAGTGGACCAAATAGGGGGTATATCTGCCATCCACTGTCCGATTTTGATGATCTCAACATTTATCGATATCTACTCCTCGAGGATTATCGATTGGTAAGCAAAGTATCGTATGCAAATGCCTGTATGCAGAGATATCTCGTATGGGAGCTTGACCCACTTTTCTGCGAAACTTTGGAGGCCTGTATCTCGCTTCATGTCAGTTTTTAGGTGCTTTGACGGTCGTCTTGTGATAGAGCATCCGAAGATCGATATCACTAAAACATATATAAAACGTTCAGATCGGATCGTTCCTGCGGGTTTTACCAGCGTTTCAAAGATTTTGTGCCATTACTTTCTTTTCCAACCTACATGTTTCCGCCGAGATGTAGCTCCAGCCAGTTTTCTTTGTCTGGGATTAGTTCCACCTCATTGAGCCTTCTTGTGAGATTTTTCTTGTGTTAAAATGGATTTATGCTTAGTTTATCCGAGAGCGGGTGATTTATTGCTTGATTCCTTTCAAGGAGTGGACAAGGCTTGTTGTTATCGATTTGATGGAGCTGAATTCCTGAACCGTGCCAAACAACGCACGCTGCCTGTCTTTAAGTGCGTAATCGATTACGACCGTAAAATCCGAACTCCGTCAGGCAGGCACGATGCGTGTCCCGGTCCGACAAAAATCTTTGGGTGACAGAACATATAAGACCCCTAAAACGCATCTAAATAAATTTGTAAGGAATGTTGACAATGTTGAAAACACAATGTTTCAGCGGCCTCCAGTGACCCTGTCCCTCCTCTCCACCTCAACCCTGCGAGCCGCCAGCCCAAATTCGTGGGATGCCAAGCCGGCGGTGGTTTTATTACAGGTAAAATTGCAACAACTTGTTAAAGGGATAGGGGCGGCATAAGTCAATCGATTACGCGACGGGAAAGAAAATGTCTCTCCGCCTCTCCCCTCGGGCCCCCTCTCTCGCCACTGCATCTGTTGAAGGGGGTTCAACATATGCCGTCCTCATCTATTTGACAAATATAGCTTTAATTTTGTTTTAAATATACTTTTTAGGGTGTAACGTTTTTTTATATTTTTTTTTTTGCTAGGTGAAACCCGAATTATACGGCCCAAATGTTTTTGGTTTAGGATGGAGCCTGCAACATATTAATTAACACTGGGCTGCCGAGTCAGGGACCAGAGATCGTTGAAGGTATGTGAAACATTTTGTTACTATTTTTTAAATACGTGAGATACTTTACCTTTAGCGTTTTCCGATGGTAAATAAGTATTTTTGTGTTTCCTCTAATTCTTGTATTTTTTTTAAAATGATCATACCCTAGTCCTGACTAGTTACAAAAGCTTTTTGTTATTTTCCACAAATCGTCAGCGGCGCGTGCGCGTTGCGTGTGCCGCGGGTAGCGGGTGCTGCAAATGCCATCCATTTCCCTCAAGCCAACAATTTTGCTCATTAAACGTTGCTATAATTTTCCAGCCACGCTTAGTTGCGAAACACATTTTTGTAAGTGAAAATTGGTACTAGACTGTTAGCGGGGGACTAATTTTTGTTTTTTCTTTCCACATGTTGAAAATACATAATGTATGTTTATCAGGGTTTTAATAATTCCGGCTGCTATAACGCTGGTAAAAAATGTGAAAATACTTTAAAATTCGAAAAGTTTTACGAGCTTTTTTTACAACAACAAGGGGTTTATATTTCGCTACAGGACCGTAAGGAATTACTTTTAAAAATCCGACTCCCCCCGCTAACAGCCCAGCACCAAAAAAACCTAAATGTATCAGAGTCCTGAAAATCCATGCCCTGGCTTTCCTGCTACTTTGATACAAGTCGATGATGGCTTTCTGCTAATAGCTTTAAATGATTGATTGTAAAACCGCGATTGATTACGGAATGGTGTTTCAAAAATTAGTCTGCCAAATTTCACAAATTTGGAGACATTGCGTTCCACCAGGCTTATTAAAAAGATTATAACACCATTACCGTACTCTACACTAGTGTTCATAATTATAAAGGCAGTCGAATTTTTTGAAAAATCTAAATTCGTAGCGGGTTTCAGGAAAGCTTTCTTTTGCAGAAAATACCCCAATTACATATGAAATGTGCACAGTGCCGCCGTTTCCCGGCTGAATCCCGGTTAAAAGGGCTTTTGTCGGCCAAAGAAAGACTCGACTCCCCGAACCAGACAAGTTCCAGGTTTGGTGTCGACCCCTTGAAACTGATTTTTGATTTGGTCAGCCTATTCCCCCTGGCTTAAACGTCAATGAGAATATCTGGCACTTCATGATTAACAATTTCTACGTCGGGCTTAAGGCTTGGCGAGCAGGAACTGGCGTTTTTTTAGCGTCTTTCCTTGTTTGGCGGAAAAAATTACTCGCAATCCTTGATTAGTGCTTGGACCAACGTCTCTTTCATCTGTTTCAGTGGAACATTACTGCCAAGGTTATTGAAAAGAGTTTCTAACAACCTGATATCGATTTCCGAATTTTAAGAATTTTTTTACATAGAGTGCCTTTATAATTATGAACGTTTTCCAAACACCATTTTCGACAAAAAGCCTCACAGAGAAATGGCTCGCCCCAGAATGTAAAAATGGATTTGATATTTGAATTTCAGATGTAATTGGGGTATTTTCTGCAAAAGAAAGCTTTCCTGAAGCCCGCTACGAATTTAGATTTTTCAAAAAATTCGACTGCCTTTATAATTATGAACACTAGTGTGGAAGGTAACTTCAAATTTAATGCAGGTTTTTACATACCAAAGATTAATTTCCAACCCATTTTCTTGTCGTTTCAGAATTAACGTCTCGACGAATCTTCGACGCGCAATTCACCGTGGCCACCTCGCCGCATCTGCAGTTTAGCGGCAATCTGAATTTGTTCCCGAATGCCCAGATTATTGGTTGGTATCTGCGGAAAATTCGTTTTGATTTTAAGAAACAGAGAAATCTGGAAAAGCAATACTACCGCGCCCGGAATTAACAAAAAAGTGTTGCGCGGAAGGACCATTAAAACTTGCAACACGATAAGCTAATCTGCATGCTTTTCAGCGATCTAATCAAAGTTTTTGTCGATGGTTTAGAATCAAAAATCGAATCAAATCAATTTTCTGAGGAGATTTTTAATCATAACCAGGGTTGAAAAGCCGCTTCGCGACTTTTCAACCCTGGCCCCGTCTGATCCCATGATTTTCTTCACTTTGCATGATTCGCGCGATTTTCGATGACAAAAAATGAGAAACGCTACCTCTCTTCCCTTACTTAGGCAACCGCAACTTCCGGCGTATGCTAATTGTTTCCTAACAAAGAAGGTGTCGAATTTTTCGACAATAACTTAATTTTAACGTCGAAAACAGCAAATTTTTGAAAATTTTATTGGTGTGCAGTCATCCCAAGGCCATTACGCACCTTATGACGTATGAAACATACCCCTAACTACCCGCTTTATTGAGATACTACTGGAACACGCTGACGGAAGTTGCATGCAAAGTGGCACGGACACACACACACACAGACACTATTTTTTTATATATAGTAGGATTAATGCCAGAAGTAAAAATTAACCAATTTTGCTGGAAAGTTAGCTACTATTTTTTCATACCGTGAGAACCGAACAATAGTTTTGATTCGCTGAGTATTCTAAAAATTTTTAGCGCCCTGAAATAAACGGGAATAAATACTATTAAAAAGAGTATAAAATGTTTAAAAATCAGTTGACTGTGGTATAAACTATAAGTAAAAATGTTTCTGGGCGAAAGTTGTATAAACTTGAACTTGAGAAGTTAATCCGCCACCCTTCTTTCTTTGCCTGCTTGAAATTTTTCGCCATTTCAGTACAGTACCGTGAGGAAGAAAAAATATATACCTACCAATTTTACACATACTCATATTCACAAACACAATAAAATGCCATTTTAAACTTTCAAATGATTAATTTTTATAGAAATTCGAACGTTTACTTCGGAAAATTCTGGTTAAACTAAACTGTTTAAATTAACTGCAACAATGTTTCAGACTTTGAGGTATTGACTAAACCAGACAATGTTGTATGCTTCTTGTTTGCGATAAAATTTTTAATGATTTTTAGTTTTAGCATTAAATCATAATAACTGCAGCTGGTAGAGTTATATGGAATAACGTTAATTAAAAACAATAGAAAAAGTGTTACTTTAACCAGTTCACGGTGCTAGAATTTTTTTTGAAAAAAATGTTTTGGCGCTCTCTAGTTAAACCTTACAGCCAGGCAAGCTAATCCAGCCTGATTACCACAGGAGTCTCTTGAAGTCAAAGCCTGTCCGGATTTTGGTAAAATGCGATGACGCTAAAAATATATGCCTATCAATTCCCATACCTTTATAGCGCCGTATTATATTGGCGATACCTTTGCTATAAAAATTGTCCAAGCTAAAAACTTGGATAGATTAATTTGTTTTCTTAGCTAAAAAAGTGTAGTATTTCATTGCATAAAACTGCTGGTTTCTTCCACTAGTTGCCACGATGTTTCAATCCTTCGGGCATTCTTTAGTGATCAGAACTGGGCAATAAGGATGCGTATGTACTTGGGTGTAAAAAAATGTTTAGCTATCCGAATTTGTTCCCGAATGCCCAGATTATCGGCCTGTATGGTAGGCAAAATAAGGTTAATTTTTAAAAGACCAGTATGGCTTCAAAATCAGATGACGAAACGTAGTTAAAAAAATGTTTCCCGACACAGTATTTAAAAGTTATCACTCCACTAAATAATCTCCACAGCTGCCTGGAACCGAAGTTTTTGTCGGCAGGTCAGATTCGTGGTAATTTCCATTTCAATTATTGTTTAGGGCCCCTTCAATAAAAATTTTTTGAACGTTATAATTAACAACAGATTTAAAAAAAATTACAACGGGTATGACAATGAGAATTCTTGGAAATTTATCAGCTAGCCGGAACAATGTTTCAGTCCTTGGGATATTGATTTTCCATAAGGAATAACCAATTGTTTCTCTCGCTGAGCATTATAAATTTTTTTGACGCTCTGAGGTTTAGGGGAAAAGTTTGGTAACAAATAGAACATTGTTAGTTGTAGATTTATAAAATTGGTATAAAAAATACATCAATTGACCGCGCTAAAAACTCATTTCGAAAAATGTTTCATCGCCGTATAGGCCAAAAACTAGCTTGACAAGCTAATCCTCGTTTTCGCTTTCTGGCGGTCTGAGTGATCTGAGGTTATCGGTTGGTATATTAGGAAAAGTGATTTCGGTTTTAAAGAAAAAGTAAAGGAGCCAAAAATCAATAATAAAAAAATGTTTCGCGTCCGGATGAGTCAAACTTACGACATCACAACCTATTCGTCCATTTTTGTTCGTTGATCTTCTTAAAATCGACGTTTTGGCGAGAGATTATATTCGGAATATCCAATTTAATTATTTTCTGGGGAAATTTACGACGATTAGGAATTACGGAAATCCTGGCCGAATCGAGGCTTAATGGGAATTTAACAACTGGTCGGAAAAATGTTTCAGGCCCTTGGGATAGTGGTTTGCCGTCATAGGTCAGTAATTTGTATACGATTTGTTTGTACGAATTGTTCCTGGATACTACAAAAGTTTTTGGCAATATTAACCTGTTTCTGATTGTCAAGCTTATTCGTTTTCATATTGAGCGGAGTAAGCTAATTTTTTGTAAGATAGGAAAGGATTAAAATTAAAAAACTCCGTTGACGGCACGAAAGATTTTTCAGAAATAAATGTTTCCCGATAATGTAATATGCGTCATGTTCCAAAATCGGGCCGTCAATGAGCTGCGAACTGATATAACATGCTTTAATCCCAGTTTAGGACAAGGAGATTCGGGTCATTTTTTTTATTGGTTACTCGCCATATTGTGCCCAAACCATACGCGATATTTTTAAGTCGTTGCTTTCTGTTTTTACCCTTGAAATTTATTTCTGAGTGTGTTAATGAGAAATTTGGAGTTTGAAAGCTTTTCAGAATATTAAAAAATTGGTGTTTCACGTCATGGTTTACAAGCATTTCATAAAACGCAATCAATTAATTATTGGATGGCACACAAAAATTTATTTTTAGCTGGCCGCTGGCACGCGCGTGACACGAAGATGACGCGCTGGAATACGGGATTGGTAGGTATTTAAAAATCCAATTTTTTAGTAAGCTAAATAAAAGATGACCCTAGAATTAAATAAAACACAATAGCGACTATATTGTTTTTTGCTAAAACATAAATTTTCAAAAAATTTTTTGTTGCTTTCGATAGTTCTTTTTTAGGGCTACCGTATGGACTTGTGCTCACAATCCACCTACACTATTCCAACGCCAGGTAAATTTTCTAATTTAATTAAAAAAAACTTATTTTTAAAGGCCCTTCTGAAGACGCCATCACGGTATTTGCCACTAATGTCCCTGCGATGGGTACCGTTGCGATAGTTGGTAAGCTTTAAAAATATTTAAATTGCGATAAACCCTGAAAAAGCCTTGCCGATTATAAACTCGTAATTCTTTAGTTGCCGTAAAAATCTATAAGTTATCATTTGTATGTTACAAAAATGGAAGGATTTCTGAAATATTTTTCATTGGCAATGCGAAGTTGCGAGTACAGGATGTCCCAAACCCCCCTCGGCATTTGGCCGTCTTCCATCCAATCGGGACCAAATTTTTACCAGCGATGGGGACCCAAAAAGCTATGTGCAGCCAAATTTTCTAAGCAAAATATTCTAAAACAAAAAAGTTATATCGAAGTTAAGGTTTATTTTGCCAATTTCACTAGGATCTTGATGGATTTGGACCTCGAGATGTTTAGCAAAAATGAAGAGGGCACTTTTTTCCACCCGGATAAATTTTTAATTTACAAAAATTACGTCTAACTTGGTACTTTTCATCATTTTTTATTATCAAAATTGACAGAAACCGACCAGAAAATGACGATTTTTTTGGAAAATTACTCAAAATTGACATGCTAATTGCGAAAACATGGTCAAAAATAGTACCACCGTTTCCCAAAGAGCAGTTTTTTAGCAATAACTTTTTTGTTTTACAATATTTTGCTTAGAGAATTCGGCTGCACATAGTTTTTATGGGTCCCCATCGCTGGTATTTTGGTATTGGTCCCGATCGGATAGAAGACGGCCAAATGCCGAGGGGGTTTTTTTTTGGGACACCCTGTAGTTTATTAAATTCTTAGTTTTTACGGGCGGTCCGTATTTGTATCTCTCTCATTTCCTTAATTTTTCCTTTTTTTACCTTTAGGGCGATATTTATAAATCGATTTGAAAATCATAATTCGGTTCTTGGGCATTATCGGGGGGAGGAGATTTATCAGCCGGCAAACCTACCTGATCTTGCAATTTTTCTAATCGAAATAGAGGAAGGTTTGCTAAACGGTTTTCTTTTGCTGTTCTTAAATGCAAAATTCAAAAAAAAATTGATTTTTGGGCCCAGATTTCAAATTTTTAGAGTTTTTATTGTTTCCCACCTGAAATATAGATAAAATTTACTAAAACCACTATTAAAACACTTATTATTAGGTAACTGGATATTTCTGGACTTATACAAAAAAATCTGTTTTCGATAAACTCCCCCCTGCTAATAGAAGAGAACCCACACAATATAGAAATGGCCGGATTTAATACAATTTTTAGGACTATTATTCCCGGAGGCTGAGCCACTCGAGCGGATATCCACTCTCTGGACTACCAATGTTGCAAAAACCGTTCAGTCGCGTAGAATTGTGAGTTTCAAGGGAAACTATCGAGAAAACGCCTCACAAAGGCGTTATTAGGGCGCATGCATTTGGCGTACAAATCATTTTTGCACAAAAAATTTCCGGACAAATCGGGACGAAAACAATGGCGTATGCAGATGTGTCTTGGTGAAGTTTGCTTTGATGGGCGCGGCGAGGGAGGGGAGAGAGAGAGAGAGAGAGAGAGAGAGAGAGAGGGAGAGAGAGAGGATGTGTGTGTGAGAGAGAGCAAGAGCGAGATATATAGAAAGAGAGAGAGAGAGCGAGAGGGGAGAAAGCTAAAGCCCATTTAAGGTGCCACTTTTAGGTAATCTGCGCAGCGGATTGGATCCAACCGGCCTATGGTATGCCATTCCCCGTGACACCCGCGATGCGCGATCAAGCCGGATGTACAAAAAGATTGTTTCAATAAATTATCATTACCAAGGAGATACAGTGCACTTATTCGGTGCGAATTTTGGCATACATTTGTATAATCATAAGGAACGATAGACTTTGCTGATTAGACTAACCTCGCCAGATTGGCTGGGCCAGTTACCGAACGTTCTCATTCAACAACCAGCGCCCAAAACCCGCTTCGCGGGCCTTGGGCGCTGGAATGCGGCCTTTGCATGAAAAGTTTGACTTTCTGATAGCTTGGGTCCTGCGGACCCCCCCCCGACCACACGCGCGAGTGCAACTGGCAAGAATGAGGAAGTTTGTATTTTTTCGCATTATGCAAATTAGCCTTCAGGTACCCCAAAAATGAATAAAACCGCCTTTAACTTTGTAAACTTGTATTTTATCGAAATTCTGAAAACGCCATCGGAAACAGAAGGGTCGATTCCTCCGGGTGACGGAGAATTGGGGCGTTTTGGACACGGGAAGGCCCTCAAATCGGGCCTCGAAAGTGACATCCACACACACACACACATATACACTCCAAAATTATATAAGGTAGGATGAAACCCTGTTTTTAGTTCCCTCCAAATTCCAAGTTTTTTCCTTCGAAAAATTCTTGAAGTTTAAATTCAGGTCAAAAACTTGTTCTTAAAATGACTTTAATGTTTGGGTGTAGTAGTGGCTTCTTATAACAAAAATATTTTAACGGGGTTAGCGACATGCGATACGCGCATTCCGGTTGTTCGAATTAGTCTTCACACAACTTTTGAGCATTTCATTTTGCATTGAAACATTTTAATTTTTCGAATAAAAATCCTCGATTTTTGAAAGATAGTGAACCTAAATATTCAATCGAGGCTAAGATTTTTTACAGAAAAATAATGTTGATGTTTCAGGCATTTCAGACATTTTTTCGTTTTCTAAACAAATATGATGATTTCATGAGGTCGACTAAATTTCCGGGCCCGATTTTTAATATGCGTGCATCTCTTTTTTGCGAAGAGACATTTTCCTAAAATCTATGTTTTTGATTGCAAGTTACACTTGATCTGATTGCAAGATATAAGAAATCAATATTCGTCTAATTACTTATAAAAAAATCAAGGTTACTGTCAAATTAAGGCGAAACATTTTATTCAATTTTATGTTTCGGTTCTATTAGGGTTTTTGGTAAAAAAATTAATTTACTATGTCGGTTAATAAAATAACTTCACTAAAAATAAGAAGTGGCTAGTGGATGTGTACACACAGCTACAAAGAACGCCAACATTTGCTAATGCAAAGAAAGTTTCTAAACCCAAAAATCTGAGAATTATTTATGAATTCTTTTACTATAATGAGCACCAATGACAATTGCGATCCACCAAAAAAACAGCGGCGCTGAGCGGTTATAGACAGCCAAGCACTTTTCAATTTTACGGTTTTTATGGAGCGTTGTTTCATAAAAATCCGTTAAAGCCCGTTAAAACAGCGGAACCTCAATTTGCTAGTGCGTAGCCTTCATTTGTCGTTTTTTTCTTGAATCCGTAGCATCATTTTTGGCTTTATTTCCTTACAGTCCAGACTTTTTTGCTTTTTAAAAGATACCAGGGTTGAAAAGCCGCTACGCGGCTTTTCACCCTTGGCCTTTGCGCGGGGATCTTAAGCCGTTGGGCACTTTGCAGAATTCTAGCGAATTAGTGCCAACCTTTCTACCTTAACAATCACAAAAGCGACCGACTGAGAGCGTGACAAAATCCAAAATGAGCCTCCTAGGGCCTAGTATGCAAATGAGGGCATTTCCATATGTTTTTAAAACACTAAAATAAGGTATAAATCGTCATTTTCTTAAGAATCTGATAAGCGTGCAGTAATCTACGCCCGCGAATACCCCTAAATATCTTTCGACTGGGCCCGAAAAACCTTCCCCCTTCGCGATATCTTGGTAACCCGGTTTTTTCGAGTCATTTATGCAAAGTGTCCACAGACACTACTTTTTTATATATAGTAGGATTAAATCGGGATTGAATCGATTGTAAAATGAGGAAAAAAAAGCAAAAAAGATGTAGTTTGATGACCTCTATACAATCAATTCAAATCAAAAATCAAAAATGACAAATCAAATCCACAATCAACTAAAAAATACAACAAAACGGCTACTTAAAAAAAATATTTTTTTGTAAATCTTTCTAAATCGGGATTGAACAGTTTTTCCCTATACACAAAAATGTGTTTGGCAGGTCTACCGGTTGAATAGCACCATTAACCCTGCCGGATCTTCTTTTTGCAATGAAACATTTTAATTTTGCTTAACACATCAGCTTCTTGTTTTTAAAGTATTCTATCGGGGCTAAATATTTTCTTCTTACGATGGCTATTTTAATGTTTCAGGTATATTAGTGGTTTTCATAGGTAATTATAATCCAATTCACTCGAACCTCTTTCCGACCCACCAAAAAAACAGCGGCGCCGGGCGCTTATAGACAGCTGTGTACACGTGGCAACAATGAACGGATGAGGCCAGGCCCCAGCAATTCATTATTATAACCGAGGTAGTGGGTGGATTCCGACGTTCTCGCCAGCCGGCCGACCCTTCAGAAACCCGAGATGCGCTTGCTGGCCCCTTTAATCTCAGCGGTGCTGGTAACGTGAGTTTTATTTTTTTGACGTTAACATTAAACAATTCTAAAGTCTTTTTCTAAATACAAATTATCTAAATTAAAATCGAAAATCCATAAAAACTTTTAATCTGAATTCTAGAACGTTTTTAAAATTAAAAAGTCTTTAGAAATATCGGGGAAGGCCAATTTTTTCCTTTTTCCAATCCAATGTTTTCATATAAATAGCCGAAGTCATTTTAAATCCTTTTGACTTTTTTACTAGACGTAGAAGTAGCTTTATTAGAACGTAGAAGTAAATTATTTTTTATCGGCTCCGCATCGTCCCGGGATTACTAGCCGATAATTTACGAACTCCTGGTCAATGGATGAAACATTGAAACTCTATCGTTTTAGTTAAAAATTTACATTTTTTTCCTTACTAGTATTCAGGAATTCCAAGGAATTTAATAGTTTGGTTTTTCGTACGATGATGATAGAAAAGATCTAAAAAAATGGCGTTCCAAGAATATGATGGTGAATTCGATCCGTCCATTGAGCATCAAACCGCCGGTTTTTCCTCAAAACCAAATGAAACATTTTTGCAAATAAAAATTTTAGGTAGTTTTTTAATGAATGGATTATGTAATTAAATTTGTTATTTTCGTTATGTTTAAATATTAAATTAATAGAACGAAGCGTCGATAAATTTATATATCCAATTTATCAAATTTTCAAGATTTTAGGGTCATCCCTGCTGTCCCGGTCTCGGAGGTGGGCCCGAAAGTTTCGGTGAATCTTGTGCAGAGGTTTCCTGGTATGTAAATTTTTAAAGAAATTCTTGGATGTATGATATTGTACGTTTCATTTTTTGCATCGGTAGTGCTAGAAACATTCAAAAGACCAAACGATTTTTTGGAAAAAGTTTTTTCATGTTTCATGTTTCGTGCATAAATGAATGCTTTAATTAGATTAATAAATGCCCAAACGTTGCCAAGACAAATATTAAATTTTAATTTATCAAGTAAGATTTTTAGACCTGGCGCTCCCTGAGCTCGACGACGGCCCGGAAGGCGTCGAATGGCTGGGGTTGGAGCCGATCAACGGCTTTCCCGATTTCCCGGCAGGTAAAGCTTGCTTGTTACCGTGTATTTTTAATCATTTTAGCCATCGTCGAACCAATCGGCCCTGACGTCGCCCCGGCAATACCTACATATCAATAAATTAATTCAAGAAATAAAGACCTTTATTTTATATTATTTTATTTATTATCGTGCAAGGGAGCAGCAGAAACTTTAGTCTATTTTGTATGAAAACAACATTACAAATTATTAAATTGAAGATGAAAAGATTATTAAAGATGTGTCTGATCAGGGCTATAATCCGAACGATTTCTTACTCTTAACATCAGACATTTCTGAACCTCAGAATTGATTTGGTAAAAACCATGTTTCGTAAAACACGCTGAATAAATTTGATTGGTTCGGTTAATTCTACTCCAAGTTTGCCATGCTTCTAAATTCAACTAATTATTCTAAAATTCAATCAACCCATTATATGACTGTCCACTATATCTTTAAAGTCCCGCTTCAAGTCAAACAGCTAGCAACTGTCCCAAACGCTCTCTGCCAGCCTGCCCCATCCGATTAGAGGGCTTGGACACTTTGGTAAATAAAAAGTTTGAGAATAATGAAATGAAATGGGGATCTTTTAATGCCCAGAGAAAGTTGTGCGTTTAATTGTTTTTCATTTTTTGTTCTTCCATAAATTGCCTCTGCTAGCCCACGGTTTTTGCCAGCCGGAAAATTACCCCTCGTATGGCCAAAAAACCTATTCTAGCCTAGGCCGCTAAGTTAATTTTTAAGGCCCTATTTGAGACCGTCCCGTGTATAAAAAACTCATGGAAAAGTGAGAGTCGGTTTATCAAAATGTAGAAGTCGCTTTATTAGGACGTGGAAGCAACAAAGGAGAAGTCTTCGAAAAACCGTGTTTCGTAAAAAAACCTAAATAAATGATTTTTGGATAATTCTAGTGCGAGTCTATACGACACGATGCTTGTGAATTCAGCTAATCATTATAAATTCTGTCCCACCAATTAATAATTACCCACTTTCGAGCCTCAGAATTTGGTAAAACCATGTTTCGTAAAACGCGCTGAATTTAATATCCTCCCGTGTATAAAAAAACTCGTGGAAAACGTGAGAGTCGGTTTTTAGAACGTGATTAGTTTAGTTAACGTAATTTTATTAGTTAAAATGTAAACGTCTATCGAATGTGAATCGCGAAATCCCACAGTAACCAGGCATCTTATTCCATTTAAAAACCTTGTTTCAAATTTTCCTCAATCTAGTTGACGAGGGTAGTTTCAATCCGACCGCCACATCCCAGGTCATATTTGCGTAGCCGCTAGGGGTGCACTGGACATGTTCCGCGAGCCCTGGACATTGGCGGT